TCCTCATAAACTCACCCATTATGGAAAATTAAAGAAAATTAACCTACCCCAAAATACAATAACACAAAAACAACAACAGGTCTATCTCTCCAAAACTGAATAATTCCCTAACAGTTCTGAACATAAATTGCCTTACAACACTTAAATAATAATACCTATGCCTACATACAAAACGTATGTAAAAAAATGCTAATTAAGAGGCAACCTTTTCCTGCTCTATCCAACTATATAAATATGTCCTCTAACTCTGGGACTGATTTAAAACTAAATTTCTAAAGCATACGTTACAAACTTCATACAATTTAAACAGTTACTAAAAACAATAGAACAAACAATTAAATTTTCAATTAACAACAGTAACCACAAGACAAACTTTCAATAACCACCAGAAAACTTTTGATCCCCCAAAACAGAATAAACCTAGTCTCGAATAACTGGCATAACTTCTCCAAAATCACAAAAATGGTACTCACCAAATTTTGAAGACACCTTCGACTGACTTTCCTGGCACTAACTTGAATACTCTTCCGGGAAACTATTTTGCGGCACTAGATCACTCTTCCTCCGGTGTTCCCTTCTGACACACTGTCACTTTTCACTGACACCTGTCACTGAAGAGTCTTCACCACGCGAACTGTCCTTGCATGCAAAATTAGATCGTTCTTGTGCAGAAAAGATCGTTCTTGACTGCTCACATAAAACTCAAGTTCACAGGCGAAAAAGCCCGTTCCTAAATTTACTCTCAGGAACAATCCCTAAAAACAGCCACCAATTTTTAATATTTACTGCTGTGGTGCAGTGTTAATGCTTTAACAGTGTGGTGTTGAAACTCCAATGAAAATGCTAATGATGGAACACCACATAAAAATTTTATTGAATGCAAAAAAAAAAAAAAAAAAAAAAAAAAAAAAAACGGAAACCAACCAGAAAAAAAAATAAACTATTTACTGAAATTCTAAACTTTGTTTTAATTACAAAAAACAACTTTTTTCTATGTGATTGTTGTGAACTGACTGGAATGATATGAAATTAGTATTTTTGTCTCTAAACATTCTTAAGTCTCAATTTCGTGATGAGGCTTATACCAATTAAACTTACTTTTAAATAGGAAATTATGGAAAAAACGAATCAACAGCTTCTTGACAGGGACCCCAAAGCAGGATATAAAAACTGAGTATCTATTTTTTGTAACCAGAATTCGTGGTATCCTGTTATAACACTGGTTCGTGTTTATTTGTGAATAATTAGTAAATTTCTCATCTCTCTCCTGTATTAGTATGGGTGTAGTGTTATTGCTTCAACAGATTGGTGGTGAACTCCAATGAAAAGGCTAATGATTAGAACACCACATGAAAATTTTATTGAATGCCCCCCAAAAAAGTGTCTACATATGGTCAACAACAGAGAGAAAAAGTAAATCTTTCTTAAAATTCAATCTATACAATTTTACGTGCGCCCGAGAGCAATAGTTTGTGGACTCTCGAGCTTGCGTTTTAAACTTGCCACATTTATTATTTTAAAACAACTCTTTTAAAACTATTGAAAACGTATTCAGAAGTTAAATAATAATAATTTTCAATTTATGCTCACGAGACATCCTTGTCCATTTTAATCTTCAGTTTATTCTTCCTTTACGTGACCTTATCACAGTATGTATTCATCTGAATTTGTAGCTCTACTTCACAGAAGGGTCCAACATCCAATCAGGAATCCCCAGGTGAGGTATGTTTTCAAATCTTTGGCTGAGGTCAGAATGAAGAGCCAGTTAAATGTTGACAATAAGCAAGGAAATTTTCATCTTGTTCTTACAGTTTTGAAGTATTCGAAAACTAAGAGCATTCTTTTCTCCACATATTTGGTTTGTATACAAAACGTTTTGCAATAAATGCAAATACTTTTATTAAGTTTAATTGATCACCCTATAGCAACAAACTAGTTTAATTAAATTTGGCAAATATGTCAGTCATTATGCTATGTAATTTTTTAATTAATTAAACTAAACAGAAAATTGTTGTCTTTCTTTTCCAAGAATTACAACACTGAATAAAAGAGTGCCTAAAATCAATCCAAATATGCATTTTTTAGATAACTAATAAACTTCCAAGTTCAGTAAGTACACTAATCTTTGTCATTTTCCAGACAAAGTTGAATAAAAAAATCTCTCAATTAAAGCACTCCTTTTGGTTTTATTAATTGCTTTAATGACACAAACTAGTCAGCCATTCAAGCTTTCAGCAACTATGTGCTGTCTATGTAGGGATTATACATTCAGTATACCTTGTTATAAGTATGCCAGAAAACCTCAGTATCATTCTACCATTGCTGGTGCACTGTAGGAAGCAATAAAGGTTATATTACTCAAGGATATAGTTTTACATCGAAGGATCTTTTTAATTAATTATTGTTCCACATTTCATATCAGTTTCCAAACATTTGACAAATAACAATTCCTAAGAAATTTTTTCTTGTTTTACAAATCTCACATATGCTAAAAGTAAAGCTTTGTTTCCTGGCAAAGTTGACTCAACAAGCTGTATAGAGAAATGAGGTGTTTTTAACTACTCACATAAAGAATTTCCATGCACTGAGCCATTTCATTAGTCCTTCTTTGTATTGTATTATTACTCAGTAAAAATCTTTTTATAATATCAAAATTTATGCAGCATGGTAGGATGAGTTTATTAATGGTGCATAGCTTTCTCTTTGCAATCAGTAAAGAAAATTTGTAAGAAGCACGTCCATTGTCATCTCTCTCTTATATGTTGCAATGACAGTTCAATTCCTTTTTACTGTTTTAAAAATGTTTTTTATCTTTATCTTTTTTGTCGCTATGAACTTCTGTCAAACGTTTCGTAAGATTTATTGATTCATTTGATAAATTTTGTTGCACAGGATGAACACAGGTAGGTAAAGTACTGCATTCTGGTGATCGAATGAAGCTGCATTTTAAATATTCAAGAGTATGTTGTCTGCATTTTTCTTTGAACTGCTATCCGTAAAAAAAAAGGCTTCATTTGTTTTATTTTACTCATGATGTAAAAATTGTTTCCAGTTCATTTATTGTTATTTATTTTAGCTTTTGTAGTAATAAAAATGTGTTACGATAGTTTTACTTCATATTAAACCACCTGCAGACCCTCCAACATTGTCGCACAGCTCCAAATTAATTTTGATTTCCCACAAACCTTCTCAGCTATCAGAAATAAGGACACTTGAATGTCTATACAAACCACTTTGGAAATCACCCATTTAAATAAACACAATGCTAATACTCATGAAATAATTTTTATCAAAATTTTTATTTTTTATTGAAGTTTAATAATTTGTCCATATTTATTAACCCTTTTATCCTAGCACAAAATCCATAAAAGCATTTAAAAGAAGAAAAAAAAAAAAAAAATCCAAGAATCACATCTTTTCTTGTTGTGAAACTTATCTCAGTTGAAATCCAAGTTTTTGCCAACATGATAAGAATGTTCTCTGCATATATTCAGGATAAAAGCTGAACACATAATGGCCCATAGTTAATAAATAAAAAGACTGAAATACTTAATTCCGACTAAATTCTGCAATATTATATTATTTGAATGCATCTAAGATCATTAAATACTTCACATGGCATGATTTGGCATGGCTTCACATGGCATGTTTTCATCCAGTTATAAGATTCACTTTCACTCTCTATGCTGCTATTACTAACTCGTTTTTTACAACACAGTCAAAAATCTTTAACCCAGACATCCATAAACCCGAATGATCTATAATCTGGACCTCAAAGCTACAAACTTTCTGTACATGCGTTAACGCATATGCGTAATACGTTTACACATGCGCGTAATAAGTTTACGCATGCATGTTTAATGTATAACGGACAGTATAAGCTAAGCTAAAATTATCTATTTCAGTTAATGTTGCAGATTGCGTTGTTCCTTAATCTTCTAACTGGATCCGGCTTATTATTTTTTGCAGACTGTTAGAGCAATTTTATCAAAGTAAGCTTGAACTTTCGATTATGTCAAATAGAATTTACGATTCTGGAGCTGCCAAAGGATCTACAAAGCAAAAGCATGTTTCGATGTCCATTAAACAAAAAGTGGAATTGCTGCAAAAAATGGATAAAGGTATGAAGAAAGTGACAGAGAGGTGATTTGTTTCTCTTACCATTCTGAAATCTGTTTATCAATTTCACGCTGCTCTGTGGGGGGGGGGTGGGGGCAATTGACTCACGTGATCTTCAATCCTCATCTTCAGGGCAGTGTTTTCATTTTATTTGGCTTAATTCCTTACTAAATGTAGTGTTTCATCTCGATATACTCATATGATTTAAATCAATTTCCTCGTCATTATAAATATCACGAATACGAATAAAATAGTTTTCTGGTTGCAATTTTCTATTTTCAACTATGCGTAATGTATGCTTTACGTATGCGCACATTGAAAGAAATGTTTAATAAAGTAAACAAATAAATATTAAGGCCTTTTTTTTTTTTAATTTTGATACCCTTTAGATCACGATTGCTCTTTATTTCATAAATTACGATTTCATATTTTTAATTGTATAATTTCTGCATGCCATCTTACCAGATTTAAACTGATGATCTATAATCTGGAAAAACCGATAATCTAGAATCACCGAAGTCCCTATGAGACCCGGATTAAAGACTTTTGACTGTATTTTACATTCTTATTTTCTTTAATTACTATTTTCATCCAGCTGTAAAATTTTATTTTCACTTTGCATACTTTTATTACTAACTTGGTCTTTACAATATTTTATATTCTTACGTTCTTCAATTATATTCTTATTTTTCAGTGAATTATTGTACAAAGTAATAATAAATACTATGAAAACACAATGTTTCTAATAAATGTCTCTAGAAATTGCTATCACTTAGATGGCTAAATACAGTGAGATATGGTATATTGCTGGCTGCGCATTTATTCATATATTTAAATGAAAATGAAGACAGAAAAGATAAATAGTTGAAAAGTCAATATACCTGCTCTTTAGGAATCTGGAAGATTTGTGAAAATACAAGAAATTTAAACCAATTGTTCTGCTTTGCACATTCATTCAAATATGAATTCCCAGCTTCAACTTCATATAGATGACTAAGAGTCATTACTGGCATCCACAAAACAGTATCTTTAAAAACAGCCCTAAATAAGAAATGGAAAAAAAGAAATTAGTTACAACATTTAAATAAACCCATAACATTCCAAAAGGAGAGAGCAGATTTTTGCTTTTTTTGTAATTGGTCACTTCTCACAATATAAAAAATCTGATGTGTACACCAAATGACTTCCTTGCACAGAATATTAAATTATATGCATTTTTCCTGCATTTCATTTAAACTTATTGAATTTAATAAAATTTTAATTTAATCTAATCTACTTCGTTAATAGCGCATAAACCACAATAGAATAAATGCACTCTTTAAAATTCACTATATTTATATTTACCATAGCAACACTCTGGTGCTAGGTTCATTTAACAGCTTTACATCTCATTCCTTTTATAACTTAAAATGCGAAAAAATTATATCATCTGAAGAATTATCTAATCATTGCCACATGTTCTATTCAAATACTATAATAAATCTAAAACAACGTATAAAAGAAATTAGAAAAATAAAAAAGAAACAGTTGTTGCTGTGAAGCTATTTCTTTAGACTGGTAACAAATCCACTATTCTGCTAAGTTTCAAATGTAAACAAATACAGCTGCTATGGTAAACAGAAATTAGGCTTAGCCGCACTTAACAACTTTTAAATTGTTGATAATTCTACAAATATGGCATGCAGGTTAACTAAAGGCATAAAAACCTTAACAGGAAGATAATAACAAAATAATTCAATCATTTTTAAAGCAAAAATGCATAATTTACCAACATATACCGGAACCAACATAGACCCTAACCGGAAGATACGAACAAAATAATTCAATCACTTTCAAAGCAAAAATGCATAATTTACCAACATATAAGAATAAAAAAACTGAGCTTATGGAGCCAAATATATATGTATTTATTTACTTTTGGTGCAGCCGATTGCCACTAAAAAAAGAGGTGCAAAACTACATCCTATAGCTGTCTTATATAAAAATTTCAACGTTCTGAGACTACTAGTTTTTGAGTTATGTGAAATACATACATATGCACGCACGTAAGTACAGACATCACGAAAAAATCTCTACTGAATCTATTTTAAATCAGTCTTATAATTTTTTTGGAGGAAAAGAGTCCTTTATTCTGTCCATACATATAGATGTCAAGCGAAAACATCATTAAATTGCATTTGATAGGGGTCAAAATGGGTATTTTTGTTGAAATATGGTACCTGAAATTTTTTGTGATTACAGTACTTCCTTTAATTTGTACAAGGAAGTAAAAATACATCATATATTACCTCTTAAGGAAATATGAAAGATTATGTTCCTGCACTCAGGATATTACTTAATTGTAATTGTTCTTCAATGCAGATCAGTTAAAATATGCAAGATGGCCAAGTGTTACATTCTTGGTATACGTCTCCAAATTTGATCTTTCATGATTTTTTTCGCTTTGAGGATTTATTAAAGATATTAGCCCCTATCCTATCAGATTACCCAAATTTTGCAGAAAATGTTATAATACTGCATTCTATTAACTACTGCACTGCTAGATATGACATAAAACAGCACATCACACTGATGTCCCTTGATTTATTCAATATAAAATATCTAGCAAGCATTTCACTTTTCCCTACCAAGTGACACATCACATGTTTTTGTATTGAAAGGAAAAAATATTTTAGCAAAAAGGTGAAATTTACTTAAAACATAACTGATATAAGCTCATTTCTATATCAAATGAAAATGAAAATTCTGTGTTACATGATAAAAGGTATGATACTTAATTCATTTCAAAGATCTATGTCTCGTGGCATTTTGAAAGGCGTAATAGGTAATTAAACTGATTTTTTTGTCATTAAAGGCAAAGCACGTGACAGCTATCTGCCTAAGAGCATGGGAAACATTTTAAGAAAAACTAAGCCACCAGTGGCTAAATAGGTAAGACAGCTGAATACTGGTAGTTCAACCCAAGTCAAATCCTGAAAAGGCTAGCAGCCTATTTTTAACTGATATTTTTTGCTCAACAGACTTTTATACAAGTTAGATTTCACATTTGAAAAACATGTCCACTCAAAATGTTGAAATTGTTTTCATAAAATTCAGTATCTTATTTCAAGAAAACTTGTACATACGAGGGTTGGAACTTTAATAGTGGCAACTATTTATTTACAAGGAATACAAAAGTGATTCATGTCACCATGTTTTACAGTCCTTCAATATAGTTGCCAGCATTGTGTACAACCTGTTTCCAATGATGTGAAAGTCGCAGAATACCTGTAGCAGCGCCTGTTTTATTGATAGTTTGAATGGACCGGTCTACTGCTGCAAGAATCTCAGGAACAGTTTGGAAGCGAGTGCCACGAAGTGGTTCCTTCATCTTACGAATTAAGTCATAGTCACAAGGGCTTAGATCTGGGGAGTATGGTGGATGGTAAAGCACTTCCCAGCCCCATCGCTTGAACAAATCAGTCCCAGCTTGCGCTGCATGCGGCCGAGCATTGTCATGCAAAATGAAAGGAGCGTTCTGCAGAAAAGTGTCGCCCGTTTTTTTTCTTAAAGCTGGTCTGAGATTGTGCTCCAAAATGAGCAGTAATACTGCGCAGAGTGACGGTGCTGTGGGGGAACGGTATGCGTTAGGATGACACCATCACAGCCGTACACGAGAATCACCATAACTTTCACATTGCTGGGGTTGACGAAATTTCGAACGTTGTGGTGACCGGTGATGACGCCATTCGTTTGATTGGCGTTTCAGTTCTGGCTGGTACGATCGGGCCCAAGTCTCATCCAGCGTAATGATATGGCGTAAAAAGGCATCTCCTTCGCGCTCATAGCACTCCAGGTGGGTTCGGGCAGCATCGTATCGTAGCCATTTCTGCATTTCCGTCAATTGATGTGGAATCCATCGTGAAGCAATTTTTCTCATGGACAGGCATTCTTTTCAGAATGTGCAGCACAGTTGTATGCGCTAATCCTGTTTGTCCGGTCAGCTGACGAATCGTTTGGCGGCGATCACTGTCCATTAGTGTGGCAACAGCTTGCACGTCTGCATCGCTGACACTCAGACGACCTGGCCGCAGCATGTCTGCCACGTTTTGGCTTCCTTCATTGAATGCTTTCACCCATCTTGCTACGGTTCTGTAATGCAATGCAGATTCCCCGCAAGCCTCTTGAAGCCCTTGATGACACTGTCGTGCTGTACGACCTCTGGCACATTCAATTTTTATCCAACATCGTTGTTCTTGTTTTGAAAACAACCTGACAACACTTACTTTAGACCACGAGCTAATACAAGGATCCGTTCTTCGCGTCACTCCGCATGCGCGTGATGTAGGCAGGACGAGTCTTTTTGTTGAGAGGTAAGGTAGGTATGTAGTTTACGTGTGGTATATGCGATATTCTTTGGTTTTGTTGCATAGCGTTTTTTCAGCTGTGTTGCCACTATTAAAGTTCCAATCCTCGTATATTTAGCATTTTAAATAATTTATTTAAAGGAAATAAAACCTACAGTCAACTTTTATAAACATGTTCCATGCATTTATACATATTCACTGAATTAAATATGAAGTATCTTATACATTTATGAGCAAACATTGTAGATATTTGAAAATTAATTTATTAACTTTTATATACTTATACCTACAGGTAGGCAGATAAACAGATATATAACTACTCATATAAAATTGCTTCATAAACTAGTACAAATATCTCAACTCATAATTTAGAAACATTAGACTTATAAATTTATGAATGATTATAAATTTAAATTTAAATACGACAAATAAGTCTCATATTTAAATATTTTACTTTACTTTGGTTTCTTATTCATAGGAAACCAAAGAAAAAAGGGAGTACATAGAAAGTAATCATCATTATTTAATATTTCCTATTTCAGTTAAATGTAATTTAATCTCTGGAAACAGACAATCCACCTTAGTGGACAATTCACATTAGCAGGAAGTTCCTGGATCCCCCTATACCTCAAAGCAGGAGATCATTTAGTGCACATTCCCAGAAAACAGACAAAAGCCTCGGTTTGATGAGTATGTGATAACAAAAAGTTGTGCTCTATTGATTTAGCATCTATAATTATTATCTTAATATGAGTGTCTGATGTTGTAGAGACATTTAGGATTTTTTTTAAAGCAGGAGATGTGAAAAATGTGCAATGTCCTCACTGGGATTCGAGTCATTAGAATTTTTTTTTGAAGAAGGAGAGATGAAAAATGTGCCTATAAATTCCCTCTCCGGGACTCGAACCATGGACCTCTCAAATATGCGCCTAGTGCGTTGACCACTATACCATGAAGGCACGCTAAGAATGCAGGAGAAATACCTTATAACATCAATGAATACACTTAATTACCTTGGTTCAGTACTGTAAGGATTCCATTTCTTCAAAAAAATATTTTCAATTTCAGTTATTAAATTTGCAGCAGAATCTTTATTTACAAAGGCTTGTTTAAATTTCCAGCCTGTGTTAAAAGAAAAAAAAAAATTTAGATACATAGTATCAGTCATAGTATAGTTATTATTATTATTATTATTACTACTTCTTAATATGATTTAAACAGAGCATATAGAAGGAATTCTAAATAAATTAATCCAAGAATTCTAAATAAAATAACAACATATGTGACCAAAAAAATATAGCTGCATTTATAAAATCATGTATATCAAGTGCATATTTTGTACTACTGGTGTGGTAACAAATTTCTGAATTATCACCACTATTACAACTTCACAACTTGTGTACCATCAAACTAATAATTGGTTTAAAAGTAAACAAAGCTCGCTGCTATTTAAAATAAATAAAATATTGGAAAAAATAAACAGTTAAAAAATTAATACATTTTGAAATTTTCTTTTTAACTGATTTCTAATATGATTTTAAAAGCAGCTGATTCAAAAAGTAAATAAATGACATAAAAAACCAACCATTATACTTTAAAGTGGAGGAAAAATTAATTTTGTTTTCAATTAAAAAAATATGCTATCAAAAGTTTTAAGTCAAACAGTATTGTTAGAAATGGTTAAAATATGTCTAATAATGTAAAAATAAAAATAAAGTGGGACAAAGGAATTTAAAACCTCCCCCCCCAAAAAAAATACCCCAGGATATAATAAGACAAAATACAAATTTATGAAGAAGTATAATTCATTGTATAAGTTATATACCAATTTCAGGGAAACTTTTTTCATTTGCTTCTTCATTAAAAGCTTGATTTTCATGCAATATATTTGCAGCATTCAAACAACACCTTAAAGGTAATGAATCCTGTCCTAAAAGTTCTATGAATGAAATAGATGCTGCACAAATATCAGCACTTCTGTAATTTAACAAAGCATAATCCATCACATCTTTACATGTAGAACGTACTCTGAAAATAAAATATATATTGAAACAAATACTTTGATTGACATACATAAATAAATGTTAAATGATGATCTCTTTCAATAAAATGATTTCATTTTATTTAACTTAAATATAAAAAAAAGACTGATATTTCTAAACTTACTATACTGTTTTACACTTGACAATACTAATACCAAACAGTCAAAATAAAAGTTAATGTGTTAGATAAATTTAAATTCCTTAGCTAAGTATAAAATTCTTAGATAAAAATTGCTTTTTCCTTTTTTTTTTTCATTTTTTTCATTTTAAGGTGCAATACACTTTGATACCTTTAAATAGATTAATTAACTTCTTATCTTAATTAATTACCAAATAATAACAAAATAAAGAAAAATAATATGTCAGCTAAACAAAAAGTAAGCAATTTACAATTTAATACATTGGAATTTTTAATAATCCTTGAGGACAGTAAAAGTAAACAACTTTATTCATAAGAAAAATTTTAACATCTTCTACCATATTTAATTATTATTCAGACAAATTTTCTTGATAACATTATAAAATTTAAGCTGCTAATTTTAATTTTATATTGCATTTTCAATATTTGTCTAACACTTTCCTTTTCTTGAATTTATTACATTATTATGTTTCATAATCTGAGCAATAACTCAGGAACTTAAAAATGGCAATGCTGAAAAATATATAGCAGTCATAGATCTACATTAGTTACATTAGACTTAAATTTAATCTTATTTCTTGATTCTAGGGAATCGAAATTACTTTTTTGTTATGTTTATTTTCCCCCAATAAAATAAAATCTACCTTTATTTATTAAATATTGTGCTTCGCACTTAAACCCTAAAATTAAATTCAAGAGCAATACCGCAAAATAATTTTAAAATAAGCATATCTTTAGAATTTCCAATATGTAACCTTGCACTGGAGATCGTTTTTTTTTTTTTTTTTTTTTTTTTTTTTTTTTTTTTTTACACTGTTGCCATTGCTCACTTTGAAATCGTTGAGTTTGTTAATAAAAAATTCATTAAAGTATTACACAACATGAAATCGATAATAAAAAAAATTCCAAATTTCAAATTAGGGCTTCCAAATTAGATGCCCATATTCGGTGGAGGATTACATTATTCAAAATTTGATGACCCTAGGTATAGTTGTTTTATCACAGTGTGAGAAACACACATACATTTATGCAGATTCTTAATTATTTAATTTCTTTAAATATAATACAGGGCTGCTATGTTTGGTGGCAACAATTTGAAAAGTGAACTGACATTTATAGTGAATCAACGTAAAATGCCAAAACAAAATTAATAGTCCTTCTGGGCAAATTCTCCCTTTGGACTAAAAAGGTAAAAAATTTATGTCACAAGAATGACTGAATACTTATTAATTTTTCAAATAAATAAATTTAAAAAAACTCAGTTTTTCTAAGAATTTGTTGGACTATTAAGCTTCTAAAAATCTAATTTAATCTTCTTAGTATGGATTTAACCAGATTCTTTTATTACTGCTAGCCATAGTTTTCTCCATTTATTTTGTATTACTAATTCAATCATTATTTCAAACAAATATTTTGTTTTCAAAATTTGCATTCCAATTCTTTCCATATATATTTGATAAGGTTTAAATCTTGGCACTGAGGAGGTATTTTGAATATTTCAAGAATATTAACTGGCAGCCTCACAAACATGCATTCATAGAAGAATTCTTAAAAGTCATTCATTATCTTGGAACTATTCTGCACATTTAGTTTATGTTCCAGTGATTTCAAATTCCATTTTAAAATATCAATTGATCAACTGTAACATCAATAAAGTTAAGATTACAATTTCAATGAGTAACATATAATCCTATATCAAAACCAATGCTTTGCAATTTTAATGTTGCAACTTGCATTAGTTTCTGAATTTTCCTGTGGTTCTTCTACACGTTAATAACCAATGAGAGGTAATAAATTACCTTCTTTTATCAAATATTATGTTCTAGTATTCAGAATTTTCATTTCATGTAAATTTCAAGAAAGAAAGATGGAATTTCCAGTTCTTTCAATAAGATAAAACTTCTAACATGCTGCCCAGCTATTATAAAATTTTTTTAAAATCAGGTTGGACATTTGTTTGTAATTAATCAGTCACTTAGCCACCTCACCAGAGAACACTGACTAGGGCATACCATAAGGGGTAGACCTATAGTTCCTGCAATGAAAATGTTAGCATCTCATACATGTGATTAAAAAAAAAAAAAAAAAAAAAAACAGATAGATCTGTTATCTTTTTTCAATAGTGAAGAATAGAATCATGGAAACAGCAGATAATATCAAAGACACTGCTGTAGTTCAGTTAAACAAAATATAATTTTTTTGCTCTTCCAAGTCATTGAAAGCACAGACATATCAGGCAATGCTAATTAGTCTTTTGTAAGGTGTGATTTTGAGAATACATCTACTGAAGAATTTCTTTTTTGCAAACCATTGACTACAAGAACAGCAGCATAAGAAAATTTTAACATGTGACTGAGCAGCAACAGGTCTATGAAGGGCTTTTCCCAAAAATAAAGGCTTTGGCACCAGAGTGTGTATGGTTGCATTGTAGCACACATAGAGAAGCCTTGACCATAATAAAAATGACATTACTTACACAAACTGCTATATAAGAGTGTATAAAATTTATAAATTTTACAAAACATCAATGATTATCCAGAGGAAATGTTTTGAAGTTTGGAAATGAGAGAAGCTTTTTAATGTTTTTAAACCAGCATCCTCCAGTGGCTAAAGATATAACATTTGAATTTAAAGATAATTTTATTGATGTTAATTAGTTGATGAAGCTATCTTACCTTTGTGATATTTTTGATTTTTTAAATAAATTAAATCTTTTATTACAAAGCAAAAATATAACCACATTTAAAGGGACAGAAAAGATGCAAAAGCTCAGCTTAGGGACTCTGAGTGTGATGCTATCAGAACCATACTTAAGCTTGCTTAGTATATACCCTTTAAAAGAAATAAATGATGCACTTAATAAATGTTTCTTGCCCACCATAAAATAAGCAAATTATTTCCACAACCTACTTTTGAGATATATATATATTGGTTTTGTTTTTGCATGAGTTTTGATGATGTATAAAAATGAGCTCAATCTATTAATTTAGACAACTAAAAATGGTAATCTGTTAATCAGACCATTAAGAAAACATTTCTTGATTTGTATGCAGATCTTTTTTCTATCTTCTGCAGAATTCTAAAATAAGAATTTTACAAGTAATTTTTTAAATACATATGGAGCAAATTTGAATAAATACCTGGAAATTGATAATCCTGTTTCTAAAACAACCTCCTGAGCTATAAATTTCAGATATGCATAATTTGGCCGTCCTTCCATTAAATAATATAGGTAAGTTAGATCTTTCTTCAAGCCATATTGTTCAGAAAGACTTTTAAGAGAAAAATGAGGAAGTTCAGTTTGAGCATCTAGAATCAAAATTAATGTTTTTATAGTTAAAATAAAATATGTATTTTTAACAGAAATTCAAATAAATAAAACATGCAAAAACTGAATATTGAATATGGAATTTAAAATTTTTTGAAATATTCTACAATTACTAGGCTGACATAACATAAATGGAGTCATATTTGTATCAAATAAATAATGTTAAGGGAAATATTTTATGCACCTTTATGCAAATGCTGTCATGCATTAAGGAATGACTCAAAATATATTGATGAGCCTACTCGAGATAGCTTATACGTACTAAATTATGGAATCATGAGCATAAGAATAAAGTAGCTTTCTGTTAACAGGCTGTCAGTTGCCAAATGTGCATCAAAGTACTGAATGTGATAGCCTATTTGTATTTAAATATTGTGTGATGAACAGCTGTGCAATGGCAATATACATGATGTTTAATGGACAAAATGCCAATGCTATGCATTATCCCAAGATTAACTCTTGGAATTTTTTTAAAGTGGAAATAGATCACTATATAAAGGAAAAAATAGAAATTTCTCTCTTTCCATGTAAACAATGATACGTTTTTCCTTAAAAAAAATCAGAGAATTGCACAAATGCGCCATCAAGCATAGCCTTGCAATAAACAATATATATAAAAGTTATTCATTTCATGAAGCTTTATATATCATTTGGATTGCCATCATCTACTTAGGTTTTACACCAACATTTATACTTGCCACTGCCATTAATAAAAAAGTATCAAGGATATTTACAATTTTCTAATATAAGCCATATTCTATTACTATATATTTTGTTTATTAAATTAAATCATGAATTAAAAATGAAAAGATAAAATCTAAACATTTCTTAAAAGCAATTTAAATACAAAATATGTATTTTTTTAAAATTTATATGCCAAAAAATAAATTAAATAAATAAAATAAATTGAATTGATTTTTTTTCTTCCTGAGAGGGCAAAATAAGCTACCTTTCATTTTATTTAAAAAATTAAATCTATAAGTTATTTTTGAAGAGTTGTAACTATAACCAACACAGTGTCCTAAGCTTAGGGGCAGGGGCTTGAGTGAAGATAATATATTTTTTTTAATACTGGAGAATTTATTTTAAAAAACTGAAAAATTAAATTGCTAAAGATACTTATCCTTCCACTTTCAAGACGAGAAATTATTTGTAATTAAATAAAGAATAATAGCTACGAATGCAGAGATGACTAATCAGATTATTTCTTTCCTGTTACCAAATGGCACATTATGCAGGATAACTTTAAATGAAAGACTAAAGGGGGAAATTAAGAGTTACCACAGACAATGAGGGGAAAAGGGATTCTAGTGATTATAGATAGCAATATGCATGCTTAGGTGATACACTGCTTTTATTTTTGTTTGGATTTGTGAGAATTGCTGCACTTTCAGAGCCTAGTTTTTTGGACTTTTGGAATGCATAACAAATGATGGAAGATCCAGAATCCAGGCTAATGCTTGTATTGCTTACAAACAGTGGTGCAGGCATGGGAATGCAAACAAAATAATTGATAAAAGAATGGAGAATGAAAATAAAGCTTCTGGCACAAAGCTATTCATATAATTATTAATGAGAACCTAACTCTTATAATCTATAATCTTGCTTTTCATGGGAGTAGTGAGAGACTTGAACATAGCAATAAAGGAAATTTCCTATCAATCACTGATCTCTGGCCAACATATGATTCAGTGTTGTAAGAACTGCTCCAGCATCCACATGGTGTAACAAGAAACTTAAGTCCCCAAATCCAAAATGAATTTATCAACTTAGCAATTGAAGTTAAAAATGACATCATTTGGGAACTTCAAAATGGCCTATTTTTTACAATAATTTTGAAACAATTCAAAATGTTTTTAAAGTTGCCTAACAGAGTAAAATTTACAGATATGTGAAAAAAGTGAATGACAAAATAAGACAACTTGTTGAATTAAAAATCTGTGAAGTTTTTATTTCTTTTAGAAAAATAAAAGATAAATTATCAAAAGGCTTTGAAGAAGAAATCATGAAATGGCTTCATGAGAATTGTTAGGATTTATGTCACGGGCAAGAATATGATGGTGGAGCAGTAATGAGTGGGACATACAATAGTGTGCAACAATATATTGGGTTGTAACAAAAGTTTTCCACCACTGCAGATATCATCTGTGCAAACAGTCCTATTGGGCATGTTTAATCATATTTTGTCAAATGATTTTTGGCATTTGATAGAAAAAGACATGCATTAGAACACTGTGTTATGAAATTTGTAAAAACATATCGTTAGCATTAAGTCCAAAGTGTCTGAAATGGAACTACCATGCTACCAGATTAGAACCACCATTTACTTCCGGTTGTGTTAGAATAAGTCTGCGACAGAATGTCATCAAACCATATGTACAGCTTCAGATACTAATGCTGTATCATATGACACTGTGAAAGTTCAAAAACAAGGACTACGATATTTAAGAAGCAGAGCGCTCTGGCTGGCCTACTGATATTGATGAAGCCCACCTGCAAGAACTTGAGGAAGAAGATCAGTATGCAACCACTTGAGAGCTTGCTAAGGGAGTTAGTGCCATGACCATAAGTCGCATTATGCATCACATAAACTTGATGTACAATTCAATGGCTGGGTGCCACATCAGCTGACTCAAGCAGATGACAGACGTGTTTGGGCCTGCACTAATTTGCTTGAATATCAACCCAAAGACAAAATTCTGGACTGGATCATCACTTCTGATGAAAAGTGGATTTATTTCAATAACACAGGCCAAAAGAGGGTTGCTCTGCTCCTAAAGAGCCCATCGGCAGCATCACAAAGTACAATTTGACTTACAAAAAGATCATGCTTTGTATCTGGTGGGATTGCTGTGGTATCATCCACAAAAAGTATCTGGCAAAAGGTAAAACCCTTGATAGTAAGGTGTACAATGAGATGCTAGTCTGTGTTGATGCTGCAATCAAAGAAAAATGTCAAACTGAGTCCCGGCACAAAAAGGTAATGTTCTATCAAGATAATACAAGACCACATGTGTCTCTGCATTAACCACCTGGACTCTGTGTGGACTCCAATGGGATCTTTTGACACACCCACCATATAACTCAACATTGCTCCTTCAGACTTCTACCTTCTTTCACACCTGCAGCTACATCTTTTTGGTACTATCTTCCATTCTGCACAGGGCGTCCGAAATGAAATTGATCTGTTTTTGGACTCGCCACCAAGTTCTGGACCGAAGAATTTGAAAAACCAAAATGTTGGCAGAAAAATCATAGATTATGTGATGATTACTATCTGCTTTAAGGTACTGCTTTCGTGTTTTTTTTTTTTTCTAACTTTATTAAGAACATTTTTTGGCAGAAAACTTTCATTACAACCAGATATGATAGAAAAGCTCTACCCCCACCATGCTTATTTTGTATGGCATATCACCTAATTTTAGTTTTAAAAGATGCTAATGAAGGAAACACAGAACTATGACAGTTTTTTTAAACTGTCCAAAATGTATACAGCTATTTTGTTATCAGAGTGGATCATTTAAAGCAAAAATGACACTACATGTTCTAAATCCAACTCATTAGGCTAACAGATATGATATAGTGCATATCTTAAAGCATAGTTTTGGTAATGTGATGAAATGTCTCAACAGGTAAAAAAGCAAGGAAAGGAATGAAGTGATACAACTAAAGAAAAACTGGAAGCATCTGACATTGTCCTACTCTAGCTTATAATGCAAAGTTTTAGGATTTTCAGAAGTCTTTGCAATCTAAAATGGTAGATCTATTTATCAGCATATGGATTACTAGAGAATGACTTGCTAAAAAGTACCAAAATAATTTAGAGTAATTGTATTTTACCTAATGACCTATGTTATCACTGTTTAAAAGGTATGAAGTATGTTCTTGATATTTACAAGTATTTCAACACAAATTTCCAATGAAAACAAATGGAAAAGGAAACCCATGACAAAGCAGTTGATTTTGTGCAGAAGTTTCCAGAGAATGCTTCATCAATATTTCCATCCCAGTTATCTTTAGTTAATGCATCACTTAAAGAGGATAACTAAGGTGCCATTTAAAGAGAAGCTTGAAAAAATGGTATTTGGAATCGGATTAAAAAATGTATATCTGTATGAATTGTCTGTATTGCAATTACATATATTTGTATACATGCACATACATTCGTACTTACATATATACATGCATACAAGAATGAATACATACATACATCATGAATGAATACATACATACATCATGAATGAATACATACATCCATTCACACATGCATACATTTCTGAGGCTGGTCCTGATAACAGAACAGTACCAAAAAATAAATAGAGTCAAAGGATTAACAAAATTGTTGATAATAAATCACAGAATTTTTCGTATGCACAGCATGCATCACATACTTAATGGTTTCTATGACCAAGGCCATAACAACCATTGGGGCAGTGTCCCATGGTCCAAAACTTCTGAATGAGGAGGGGGAAAAAACTATTGGTTCTTTATACTTCCACTTTTCAAGCCAAGAAAATTGTTTATCTAATTAGAAATAAAAGTTTATTTCTAATTAAATAAAAAATGATACCATGAATGCATCAATGACTGATAAGGTTATGTCAACCCTGTTACTTGAAGGCACCACTATATAGCCAACTTAGATGAAAGACTTCTGGGCAAAGCTAGGAGTCACCAGAAAGTATGACTGAAAATGACAGTGTACATGAGAATGTTCTGGTAGCATCCTGCGGTCGAGTTGTAGAGTTCCTCACTTTGTAATTCTAGGCTAATGTTGGAAGTGAAGAATCTTAAGAACTGATAAGCAAATAAGCGCTTAAGTTCGGGCGACAAGAAACAACAAGATAGAAGGGTATCTAACCCTTTATTATTCCAATAAGATTTAACAAAACTCCGCCTGGGAGTGTAAAAACAAAGCCCTCCCTCTGGCTGGAACTTAAGAGACTAAAAATTAAACTAAAACTAAGATTAACTAAGGAAATATAGCCGAAGTTATCAAGATTCAAATCGAGTTGGCCCCTTAACTTATTTGATACGAAGCTTAGCAAATGCCTGAGTACGGCCGAGCGTTATAACAGCTTTGAGATAGAGAGTGGCCAAAAAAGGCAGACGCGCGTAAATCAGAAACTCTGACTCAGTAAGTAACTTCGTGGTTTAAATACTGCTCCTCCTCATTAAATATTCAGCAAGATTTCAAAACTACGTTCTGGCCCGGAAGTAGTAAGTTGAAGTTAATTTGACAGGAAAGGAACTTTAATAAAATTAACATAATCCTTACAGAGTGTTTTTGAAGAACATTAGGCACTAAAAGATGAATCAAAGGCTTTGAAGACAGTGTGTTTTCTTATTCAGAAAGCAGATCATCAATTACCTTTCGTAATTGGTTTCCAGCAATTATATATAGCAATCTGTCTGCCTGTGTGGTCCCCTACAACTATTTTGAGAAATGTTTCGCTTTCACAGCCTAATTTCTTTGACTTTATAACTGAAGATTAACTGAACCTCCTCTTTGACTTAACAGGATTAAGAAGGAATCAAAAATAACATAACAGCTCGCATCAACAAGATATTTATTGAAAGTATTTTCATTTAATTAAAGTATATAAAGTTACTTTTATTATCATGAAAATGACTAACCATAACTAGAAAAAAAGCAGTTAAGGTTCAGAGAAACAATAAAAAGTGAGGCCCTTTATCCTCTGTCACCACAGGTTCCCAAGTCTCTAGTTATGATCTTGTATGTTTGCTCTCAAAACAGAAAAATTGAAAATAATAATTTTTACTTTTGCTAATTATAAAAAAAATGATAAATTTCAAAATAAAAATGGAATTTAACTATATTTCTTTTAAAGTTTTATTATATTTTTCTTCAAATTCTTTATCTGCATAGCAAAACAAAACTCACCTTCAGATTTCAGAGAGTTTGCTGACTGCCATCCAAACAGTTGACAAGTATCAAATATAATGCTACCCTACACAAATTCAGATACCATATATAAATGGACAAAATGTTTACACTCAAAATTAAACATAATATTTATAAATTTATATAAAAATTACAAACAAAAAAATTCTTTTGTCTAATTTTATCATCATTAACATTAATTTTTTCAGCTGACTTTTTAGTGCATTGACAAGGCAAGCCATAATCAGCATTAAAAACATAGTGAGTTTAATCAAAGGTGACAAATGCTTCCAATTATAAACATCTCAAAAATCATATATAAAGTATTTTTCTCTCCATTTTAATGTTTGATATCCTTACTAAAACATTAGAAGACGAAACAAGTAAAAAAGTAAGTAAAATATACACCTGGACCTGAATTCAGCCTACATTAAGGTTAATTACAATAATTAGGTATTTATATTAATTTTTAAGGTTCATTACTATAATTAGCACATATGCTACATATGGTTCATTGCAATAATTTCAATAATTCAACTTAAGGCAACTGTATGAATAATTTTGGAAAGTTTTAAGCACAGCATTTATACTTCGAAAAATTCTTACCGAGGAAAAGAGAGTTCAATTTAACAACAAACTAAAGTTTTAGATTTTATTGAAAATAAATACTCTAATGAAATTTCACTTAAATTTATTATAGTAACGGCAAACATGGAAGAATAATTTGTGGTATTCCCCTTTGAAGATTCATATAATAATTACTAAAGCAAAAAATTTCACAAACCTTTAACAACTCATAAACAGTGACATCAGGGTGGAACCTTTCTTCTGGAGTTTTGAATAAATATTTACATAACAAAGGATAAGACTGAAATTTTTCTTTCAAATATGATGCTGGTGCACATGGTCTTTTTAGAATGTCATTCATAACTTCATTTAAAGGCTGTGATTTAAAAAGTAAAACTGCAAGGCTCAAAGAGAGTGGCACTTTCATAAGCAATTCAGTATTAGAAGGGTTTTCCAAGTTAAAAAGATACTGAGCTGTGCCAACAATAGCATCATATGCTAGCAGAACATCTGGAAAAAATAAAACATAATTACTACTTTAGATAAAGAAACATGTAGCTATAATTTAAGTAAATTTCCATCTGTTACATTATTATCATAGTAATGTTTGAAGACGATAAACATCAAATGAAACAGACTTTCTTTAACGTTCTACAGGTTACAGACATAAAGTTCTGCATAGAAGGATAGCTTTCCAATTTGTTACATAAATTCTGCCATCTCCTAAGGATCTAATTTTGAGTTGGATGTATATTAGGAGAAAAATAGTGAAGCTGGTCATAAGCTGGTCATTTTAGAATTGTAATTAAAAAAAAAAAATACCCATATTCATGATAACTTGGGGAACTCTGAAATTTCATGGGCAAACCGTAACAATTGAAGGGTTAAGTATACATAATTATTTTCTTATGGTGTTGGTAAAGGCTATCTTAAACTTCAAAATTTAAATCAAATTAAAATAAAGTTAGAAAACATACTGTATGGAGCACGTTTAAACAATAAGTTACTTTCTGTTCAGTCACATAATGAATAAAGGTTGCGTTGTTACATTTTATAGTAATAAGTACACTATTAAAAAGAATAGTGCACTTATAGCTTATGGCAACAGCCAACAAGGCTTATACAGGTTTAACTGCAAGCTGAAACAAAGTGAAAAAATATTTTGCTTATGCAACGTCTCATACAAATTGCATACTAAAATGACATATATGATTAGGCCACAGAAGTATAAATGCAATTAAAACACTTGAGAAAGATGATCTTGTAGATGGCATAAAACTTCGAAAATGCACTTATAATGTTGAATGTTCGATATGTATTACAAGTTAAATTAATAGAGAAACCTTAACCAAAAGGGGTGTTTCAGATATAAGAATCCACTAGATTTAGTGCATACAGATGTGTGTAGGCCAATGGAAGCTGATAGCTTATGAGGAAAAAAAATATTTTGTAACTTTCATTGATGACTATTTGCTTTATACTGATATTTATTTTATTACTTCACAGGATGAAATATTTTCTCATCAAACTTAATCACTGAAGCAGCAAGCAGATCTTATTTGCAACTGCTGTGATTTATTTACTATCTGGCTTAGGATAGCATGACTAACATCAGAACATACACACGTAATTTAAAATAATTTATTAATTAATTAAGATGGTTAGATACGTGAAAAAATTTTATTACATTTAAAAAAAATTTTTTTGAAGTAAATTCAGTCATCAGAAAAAGATTAGTGTGCACATATAAGTGAAACCTTAAACGTAAAAGCTAAGAAAAGGCAAATATGATTTTCCAGGTTACTTCTCACATGTATAATTTTCTAGCTGTTATCTTTACTGCAACTTAATAGAAGACTAATCATGAGCATGGTAATAGTGATCAGATCATGGAGGTAAGAAAGGAAGGAGTAGTCGGCTCAGCCCTAAGAGTGAAGCACTCCTCCGAAGCTTCGGTCTCCAGATGGGGTGTTTTTTGTTTACATTCAGAAGATCCGTTGACAGCTCTTCGATAGTATTTCGACACATGACAGTTCCATACAAATCGGAAAAAGGGACATTTCCGCATAAAAGAAACATTCATTGTGTGATGGATAATAGCAATTTGTATAGTTTAGTGACATTTATGCAAAAATCACATCTTGGTTATTTTTCGATAACTAATAACAGAGATTTTGATTATGAATTTGTTTTATAAAAGTCTAAGCTGTTGAACTACAAAAATATTGATTTTAGCAAAAATGTTGTGCTTAAAGAATGAAAAATTACCTTATGGTACCTTTAAAATTGTCTACGTCTTTCGATGCCCTTGATAGAGCATTCGCTACTTTTATTTTATGATCCAAATGCCAAAATGTTTTAAATAAAATAATTTTTTATGTCTTCCACATATTATTATGACATGTATTTTTTAAAAATTTTTAGAGGAGATGCTTTATAGCTGCTCATTTTAAACTTATCATTTTACTGTTATATAACTTAAAAATAATCCCTTTGGGTTTACATGTTTTACTTAGTTGGGTTAATTAAAAAATAAAATTACTACCAAATGCTGCAATCCTCGTCAAAATTAATAAATATACACACAGATATGCCAATAAAATAACTTTTTCTTGATTTGGAACCAGAGATTTGGGTAAAATTATGTGCAGTTTTACACAAATGTATAAAACAAAAACGGATACATTTGAGAATTCAGTGGAAGTACCATGTGCGGTCATGTGAACGTGCCACATCATCAAGACAGCTTATTCAGAATTTGAAAATAGGGTAATCAATGGAGATGAAAACATTTGTGTATCCTGCCAAAGGAGGTCCAATCATGAATGGTCCTCTTATTGATTGTTCGTACTGGAAAGCAATCTGTTAAAAGGTATTGTAAAGCAAATTCTCTCAGATGCATACTTAAAGCAATAAAGAAGAGTTTTAGAATATGTATTGTTGAAATTAAGGGTAAAAAAAAATCTTCTAAGTATAAAAGAAATTTTTAACTCAGTTACAAGTTTTAAATAATATTTTTAAAAAATCCTGTTTTGTTCCCTTTCAGAAATATTCAGAGAAAGTTAAGTACTATTAAGCGTATTTCGCTATTAAAATAAAAAGTGCTTAAATTTGAAATGGACCAAAGAGAGCATTAATTATAAATTGACTTATTGATTTTTCGATTTAAAAGATGCCTCAGAAGCTAAAAAACCATGTCATATTTGAGAAAACATTTTAGGAAGAAGTTCTATAAATAGAAAAGAAATAATACATAATTTTAATATTAATAATACAAAAAACTTTGATCTTAATTTTTGTAATTACTTAACCGAATAAAACTGAATTACCTTAATTTTTTTTTAAATTTAATTAAGGAAAACTTGTGAAAATATTTCATTCATATTAAACCATTATGAGCAAACTGTTCTGTTTAAAGTATAGCATTTAATTCCGTTCAGAATGAAATGTTGTTTAAAAATATATCCTTTTCATATACTTAGGACTCTGAAATATTGTAGAAAAGGAAAATATACGTATTTATATGTATATTTACGACGTAGTTACTAAATATTTACATCCGATCGTGTCAAAACCCATTGAACTTAATGGTAAATGACCCAATGTTTTGGTCACCATAAAGGGATTGCCAGTGCTTCAAAGCAGTATATGGAGGAAACCGGGGGAAACCATCTTACTTCCTACCTCCGTGGATCAGATACTATATTCAGTGCCTTTATGTTTTAAGCAATCCAAACCGTTATTAGTAACATGAAAATAATAAGTTATTATGCAAAACCTTTATAACAAGCCTTCTGAGTTATTTATTTAAACAATTAACTTTACAGATTTTCTGTGTTATTTAAAAAATTAACTTTACAGAACTTCTGTGTTGTTTATTTAACAATTACTTAAAATTGAAATTGCAGTACTTGTGGTTTCATCAATGACCAAGAAACAAGAATAAAAAATGTCACCATTTCTAGACACCATATACCTATGACCCCAGAATAGCATTTTAAACAGCGGAAGTTTAAGGAAAATTGGGAAGATAAAAAGAAAGAAGAAAAAAAAGACCTACTCTAATTTATTTTAAAAAATCCTGATCAAAAAAGTGTTTTAATGTTTTCAATGGGTCATGAAGTTCTACTGACCATTTTCAATGACTATGAAGTTCTACTGTATGTAAATATTACAACTATCAGGAATGTGATTTTTGTAGCTACAATGTTTCACTTTGCATCTCCATATGGCTTCTACATGATGCATAGCTTCATTTCATGCCCGTTTTCAGAAATTTAGGTGGAGGTTAAAATACCTCTTTCCTGGGAAGAATGTGATAGCTCCAATTTCACTTGATAATGTACTAAAATTTGTCATCATTTTTAATAAATAAATAACAAAAGATTTCTAATGTTGCCTCTAAAAAAAGATTTCACAATTCTCTTTATACTTGATTTTAGGTTTCGATATTGTTTACTTGGCAAACTTGTCAAACTTGGTGATCAGTCATTGAATGCCAGTAAAACTGACAAGCACTGAAATTACTTCACACAATATAGCTATTGTTCTGTTAGACTTAACTGCTATTAAAATGACTTAATAAAATCATTATAAGTTTAATTAAAAATATACATTCTACATTTTCTTATAGTGCAATAGTTAGCATTACAAGTCAGTTAGTTGGAGATCTGTATTTAACTGCAAGCAAGAGCACAAAACTCTTTTTCAAATGTTTTAATTTTTAAATTTTTCCTGTGTCTGTAACTTGGTCCTTTAACAAAGTCTTTAATGGAATAATGCTAGTTCACACTGTAACCGTTTCTGAAAAATTATTTGTTACAGATAATAAAACCTACTTTAAAATTTCTTTGAGAAGGGGGGGGGGAATTCAGATAAATTTAATACAGAGATGTAATTTTAGGTTTACAGTTTTTTCCCCCTTTATGGTAATGTTATGTAGAAAAGGTCAGAGAAACACTGTCCTATGACATGGGTGCAAAATATGCAGTTGCACAAAATTCTGACCAGATGGACAATACCTCTTCAAGCAATCTATTCTTTAATTAGCAATACGGCCTTTTAATTCCATTATTTCAGTGTAATAATAAATAACTGCATACTTTAAAAATACAATTAATGAAAGTGGTATTTAATTATCAAACAGACATCAAATGGAATAATTCTCACTCTCATGATCTTGAGACCATAAAAAGAATGCCTTTGTCAGATATAGAAGTGGAACATCACATGACTGACAAGATGGCCAACTAGAAAATCTGTAAAAAATATTTACATTTTAATTAAGGAATCAAGGTAAAAAAATTACATTTGAACTGAAAATAAATGCATACTTGGAAGTAAATGATTTAGACTGTAAGTACAATTTAGTTATAAAAGGAGAAAAATGCAAGATGTTTAAATAGTACCAAGCTCATGCATAATAATATTAACTTATGTTCTAAATGTAATTTAAATCTCTTTTCAGTGTTTGTACAGCTTATTATACTTTGTCTGAATTCTGCATATGAAAATTATAATAAATGCAAATGATTTGAACAAAATGAAAAGTATTTTACATTCATAGCTTCATATATGAAGGAATACTGGCAAAGTACCTTTGACAATCCACCCACATTCTTCAAACATTGTCCCAATTTTGATTATCATTTATTATGAAGACATACTATGTAGATACTGTTGACTATTGATCATAAAGAAAGCCTTCAAGAAAAACATTCAGCATTGCCTATATCCTTCAAAAATCCATAAGAACTGGCTATTTGAAATGGGACTAGGCTTTAAATTAGTACGAATGAAAACCAATGAAGTTCTGAATTCTTTACATATGAATGCACATTTGTTTTGTAGAACAATTCCAGACACATTCTAGATCAGGAGAAAATAATAAAGAATATGTCAATAGCTCTTTACTCTTTAAGAAAAGGCATTCTGATAAAGGCATAAAAGAAGTGTTATGGTTTGAGACAGTACTATGTAAAGCAAACATAATAAACTGCATATATTATGCAAATGAAATATAATGGGAACTGGTATAAGAATATGGTTTTGGTTTATTTGATTATGGCACAGCACTAAGGCTATCTGCCTAAAGGGAGGGATACCTTCATCGAGGATTTTCTATGGGAAACTGGCTGTATACATGCTACACATATGGAGAACCATGAAAATGCCCATGCAGCCTGCCTGTTCACTGGGATTTGAACCCTAGACCAAACTACCAGTGTTCAGCAACTTATTCTGCATATACAAGATGTTTTAGGAAAGTATATTCTTGCTCTTCTTCAAATCTTTGATGGGCTGTGAAAAGTTTTTCAAGAATAATGGTCATAGTTAAAACTGACTTATTAAACATCAGTATTAGCATTACAAAATATTCCTGAGAGATCTGCGCTGTGCTGTGATACATAACCACATTCTGTAAACCTCTGATATAATTTTGAAAAGTTTTACTGAAATCATTTTGCATGCATAAATGTTACAAATGAAACATTTGAAATAAAATTTTATGGTAGTTCCTATAATTGATGAGCAGGAAATCTCTCCAAATATTATTTCAGTTAATTAAATATTTTTTCAGTTATGACGATTTTCCTGATTGTTCTTTAGTTTATAAAAACTGCTGAAAATTAAAATTTTTTCTTGTTCTTCAGTACAACTTGAACTAACTTTCACCAAAAGTATTTTCAAAATTTAACTCTGTATAAAACATTTTACATTTAAATAATGAAACGTGTGTAGACAATTCAAGACAAAATATACATGGTTAAATAACATTCTACTATAATTGTTGAAATGAAATTAATAAAATAATATGACTAAAATTTAATTTTTCTAAATTTCAACATTGGAAACAAAAGTTTAACATATTCATATAAACTTCAAAATGTGTTTTTTAAATAACAACAACATAAAAATTGAAAACCCAATTTAATGAATTTAATTTCACTGTACTTTATGTTATTTTCCAGGAAAATAATGTCTTAGAACTTATAATACAAAATATATAATTTCTAAAAATAAAGATGAAAATTTTTATAAAACAATATAATTTATAAGTACTTAAACAAGATGCTTCATCAGAAATAGTCACTACTAAAATAAATGCTTACTTGCTGTAGTTATGTGACACAAAAGAATATAAAAAGGAGACTAAGTTATGTTTCAGACAATAGTGAGCCAGCCTGTGACATAGGTCAGAAAATGATATTGCTGCTTTTTCAGAAGTAAATAACATAATATCATTTATGTTGCACTGAGCTTTACCAATTCGAGCTAAAAATAATGAAATGTCCTCCAGCTCTTCTTCACAAAATACACCATGCCTAAAAAAAATTAGATAGTTAAGAATAAAAAATAAACCCAAGCATAAACATTAAAAAAGTATAAATTAAACATGTAAAAGAACACTGAAATGATGGCACTTCCTTTACAAGTTATATCCACGACAAGTTTTTAACTTATAATTTCCATAAATTTTAAATTAACATTATATTTCATATACACTTTCATCATTTATACTTTACATTTCATCTTAATATTACTGTGTAATCTACACTTATGACCATGCACATAACATACATTGAACGTTATTTAATTCTTATAATTCACATTTTCCACCTATATTTAAAAAAATTCTTTCAAATAATAGTGATGCATATGTAGCATTGCATAAAAGATTGCTACAAAGATCAAATTACATAAATGGATGGTGGATTTTTTGGCTCATAACCTAAGAGCTTATGGTTCACCAAACATGTGATAAAAGTACACCCTCTTTCGTAATATAAGCATGAAATTATAAAACCAACTAAAATAATATGTTTGTGACATTTTGTTATATTATAAGAAAAACAAAATTAAACAGAACAAAATTATACAACCAACGAAAACAATAGACTGATGAGTACTAATTATTGCTGTGATATGAAGAGATGCATAAAATTTACAAGATGAGTTTAAATGTAAAAACTATATTTAAATACACTACAATCAGTTCAAACTAAGTAATAAAAAGTCTCTCTTAAATACTGAATAAAACTTTAAAAAAAAAAAAAAAGTTTTTTTCAATTAAATTCTTGAGATATATATATCAGAACCATTGCAATACCAATGCTTGTCAAAATATGGGCATGTTATCAAAATGTGCTGCACCAAAAGTGCATTACAGTTAGAAAATACAGATTCACTCTGTGAACATAACTGTGTTTAATAAAAACATAACTGTGTATAACTTGAGAGTGACTAATTTTGAGGTAAGTTTAAAGGATATCTTTTATTTGATTTCTGTTCATCTTCCAACATTCTATTCTAGGTTTTATGCTTCCCTAATTCTTATTTATTTGTATAAAATTATTGCCATTTGTTTAAGGCTTTGCCTTTGCTGACTGTTCTAATATCTCTCAGGAAAATGAGTCAGCAAGACAAAATAGCAGCAGACTTTACTAAGATGTCTGCCAACTCAGTACCTTCTATGCCTACATGTCAAGAAACCCAACAGTAAAGAATCTGACACCCATGGCTCTTTATACTTTGATCTAGTCTTAAATGTCAACTAACAGAGGATTCTAGATATCAGAAAAATTTTCTAAAGCTATTAGTGCCTTAAATAAAATAACATAAATTCCAAATTTTTTCTGGCATAGTGAATATAACAGCATAATGTACAGCAGTTACTTCGAAACTGAATACGGAGCAGGCACCAAGCATTTGTTTGTTCTTTATACGGTTCCCAGTTTCAAATGATACTCCTACATGACCAGTTGTTTTTGAACCATCTGTTTATATGGAAATGTAACTGTTGTATGCATACCTGTTCTCAAGAAAAAGCTGCCTATGCACTATCTCATTAGTGTTTTTCTTATCAAGATGACAGAAGACATCATTGAATTTCTCATTTGTCCAGTAAAGAATATATACATTTCTGAATCAGAAATTGTCTTTTAAAGATTGTCTGTTGAATTATTGATAACAAGAAATTTTCATGGTCTTTTTTCAGAGATCATATTTACACTTTTATGGGGGGAGAGCTTTTTTTGACAAAGAATCATTTTTGTCAGTACTTTCTTGATTTATAAAAGCGATTCTCATAAGAAATCAAAATTCAGATGTAGGTCAATTCACCACGAAGTAGTTCAAGAAGGAAGATTCTTGTGCATGGCTAACCAGAGCCTATACGCTCACTGAAATCCTATACACAGCTTTCAAATATGCAGAAACCTCTGATCACTTATAAACCCAAGCCACTGAAGCTAAGGACTAGTGCCCAGCCAACTGACACTAACGGGAATAGCTAAGTGCTTCCCATTTTAATTTGAAGCAGAGGCCAAAGCAAAATATTGGGAGAGCAACTTGCCCCTCAACTACCAGGGCCCTTCTTTCCTGTCTTAGGGTCTCTATGTATGGTTAATGCTTTCTCTCCATGAGAAACCAGAGACAAAAGGGTTTTAAGAGCACTTTCAAACCATGTTCTCTATGGAAAAAACCCCAAGGGAGAAAGAAAAGAAAAAAATAGAAGGCGTGATAAAAGGAAAACAGTGCTCCTGGGATCATGACATCCATGCAAGAGGAGTGAGACTCCTGGAATCATGACATCCATGCAATTATATGAAGTTGCTAGACAGGAAAGGTCCATCATATATCTCAGAATAGAGATTAAGACTGTTGAACACTGGTAATTCAACATGGGTGCAGATTCTCATTAGCAACTTGATTGTAAGAGCATTTTATGGTTTTTACCACCTGTAACATATTTACCTTTAGGCACATAGCCCTCATGTGCTTTGATTTCATCAATTAACTGAACGATCATAAAATATATAATTAGAATTACTGTACACAAATTTGGTTTACTGAAAACAAACAAGTGAAAATGTATATAAAATATGAAAAGCACCTTCGAAAACAAGTAATTTCAATTTACTAATTTATACATAAAATCTGGAAAGTGTTTCCCCCCCCCTTTTAAATAGAAAGCATTCATTTTATTAAAAACCATACATATTATTAGTAAAAGCCCTTTTCTGACTATAAGCTTAATTCTTAAAAGGTATATTTTAAGAGAAATTATTATTAAACACTTAATGAAACTAAATTTCAAAACACGAAGTTTTTACTTACCTCGCTAATTCATTTAAAATAGTCTCAGACACATGAAATGTGGCTTTTCTGGATACAGCATTTATCATTTCTGCATTCAATGGCCATTTATTGAAAAGAGAACTCTCAGATGTTTGAGGATACTTGCCCAACCAAGTGTCAATCCAGTTCATAAGATATGGCAGAATGCCATTTTCAAGCAAGTAATACCATACTGATAATGGATTCAGTACAATGTTTGAATTTTCTAAGAAAGAAAAAATATATATGTATACCATTCTGAAGCATTATGAAATACTTTTAACAATTAAAAAAATATACAATAACTTTGCCCACATTTATTCCTAAGTTTTTATGCATAAAACTGTACAAGAATAAAAGCATTTAATAAACTATTTTCAAGCTCAGGATGTTAGTAACAATGCCCTGCCATGAAGATGCTGCATCTTTTTATGATTCAGTCGCTGTTCTCCAAAGCAGAAATCTTTACAAAGGTGTCCCAGTATAAAGCTGCTTGCATTCTCATGAAGAACTATTAAAAAAAGCAAGCTTCATAAGTTTTATGCTGGGGCATCAGTATGTATGCAGGATTTTTGCTTACAGTCTTGATAAATACAACAAACAAAATCCTTATTTGCTTAGCAGTACTGGCATCTTTAACAAAAATACTTTTTTCTTAATGTTAAATACTGATCTTAAGAGTATAGCTACCTTTATGCTGAATTATGCAGTTTCATTAAAAAGCGGCATCTTATGATTAAACATCATTTTAAATAGTTATCTCAAATTCACAGAAAGAAGACAAATAATTATACTGAAATATATAACAAAATAAATAAAAAGTTGCATAGCACTTTGAATGAATAAAACTTTTTAATATTACACATAAATGAGAAATTATTTTAATTTAAAAATCAATAATAAGCTTTTCAATATCATACATTCAAAAAACTTTATTAGTAATAATCATTTACCCATTTATTATTATTAATGATAACAAAATGAAACAGCATTCTATTTCCAAATACTAATAATAATCTTTTTGGACAATGTGATAAAGCTTTAACTTCTACAACTCTTAGATGCAAAATAAAATGTTAATGTACTGAAGATATTTTCAAAGCATTTTTTTTTCCCTTGAACATGAAAAGAAATGTTCATCCTATATTTATAAAAAGTGAACTTTACCATTATTCTTATTCAAGAACAACACTGAATAAAATATTAAAAACATTTAATTTTCAATCAGTAATAAAAACAAACATAAATATAAGCTAAATAATGTACTATGTAACAAAGCTCTGCTAATATAAATAAAAAAAAACTTGAATATAAATGAAATAAAGACCTATTTTTTTTTAATTGAACTCATGAGCAACAATTGCAAAATGAAATAATGCTTTTTCTTTATTAATTTGCAATTGAATTTACATTGAATTTTATAATTGTCAACTGGAAACTAAAAGGAACTATTTTGACAGTTTTTTCCAAAATCAGTGGGTAGGATACATGTAAAAATGGCAATTTCTTGTCAATAAATTTTCCTGTTATAAACATGTTCTATAAAGATATTCTCTTACGAGCATAATAAACATTTCTCTCATAGCTTCAACATGTTCAATCTAGTGATATTCTTAACATTTTAAAATTACTTCATAAGCCTCTAAAATTTACTTTGACAAAAAACGCATCAAAAGTATATAAACACTGCCAAAAGAATTTAGAATGTTTAAATTTCCTATAAAATTATACATTACAGATAAAAAGGTATTCTTGAAGTTCAGAAATCGTTTGGTCTGGAAAAAATAGTCTGAAGGAAAATAGGAGCTTAAAGGAAGCTATATAGCAGGGTTGGCCAAAATTCATGTCGGTAAGAGCCACACGTTTGAATTCAGGAATGTTCGAGAGCCGCATCTAGATTTTCTAAAAAGCACACATTCATATTTACATCATTATAGAAGTAGTGGAGGAGGTTTTAAATAGAAAGAAATCCCTGATAACTTTGTAAAAAGAGTCTAAAATTATTAATTGCTTCCTTTTCAACACTGAATAGTTTTAGTTTAGGATATTTCATACATATATTTTATATGCATGAGCCACACAAATTGCCTGCGAGAGCTGTATCAGGCTCACGAGCCAAACTTTGGCCACCCCTGCTATATAGCATATACTACAGAGAAACAATTTATTCATTGCTAATGCAAGCATCAGTCATCTCATATGCAGTTTTCATTCTCAAAATCCGAGTCATGTCAAATTTCACCGAGAGAAACTAAATGTTGGGAATTGAACTTTGCAGAATTCATATGGTACCAGAGATAAGAAACAAAAGGCAATAACTCCTTTAAAGTCATACTTCATGGAATAATATGGCAGTATCCCTTTATTATTAATATCAATAACAGTCAATCAGATTGCAGCAATAGTTAACTCTATAACAATCAATACTCAAGCTGCTACTACAGTTACATTGACATTTATCACAGTTCCCCAAGTTCCAGCTAACACCCTAATATTTCCTTTAATCATATTAAAGAATGTATATTTATGAAAAGTACATTTCTTTTTTTAGTGTGAGATTTATGATGAAGTTTAAAAAATTGCATCTATTGACCAACCATAGTCGACATGACTTTGTAGGCACCATACCAAAACACTTAGACTTGGTTGGTATCAGGGGTATATCAGCGGGGGGAAGTACACATTTAAGGGGGGGAAGTACACATTTAAGAGGATTTAGAATGCACTTTAACTAATTCATGTGCAGAATCGTACCATGATAATTCAACTTCAATCTTTTTATGTCATTTTCTAAAATAATTTCCACTTGATACATAAAAATGAGTTAAGGATTAAAAACCCTGCTTCATGACCATGTTCATCTATCCCACAGTTTTCCAATGTGAGAAGCAAGAACAAACTTAAAAAATTTGGTTGCCTGAATACTTTTGAAATAAATATTTAAACATTCATTTGATTATACAAATAATTCAGTCATACATCTTTAAAAGAATTATACCAAATTATTTTAGCAGTTCTTTCACATATGCTGGTTCAAGTTGCATGTAGGTTTATTTTTCTAATTCAAAGTGAATAAAATTAAATTATTAGTCAAACCCTAAAAAATGACCATAAATCAGTATCTGCAAGTGATATCCAATATGCAAAGTAGCATTGTCAATGATTTTTTAACAACTGCAAGTGTCATGGAAAGAATATGTGCTTGTTTCCACAAATTCAATATTACAAATGCTTTAAGCAGTCTTTAATCATTACTTTTCCGCTTCCATATTACATGAAACTATCATTCTATACTGCATAACACTATAATCCCATACTGCATGAAACTATAACTCTATACTGCATCACACTATTAGTCCACACTGTGAGATACTATTGTGTGACTACCAGAACACAATCTAAATTATTTAAATGTACAAATCTCCTCACAATGTATAAAAATTTCCCATTAGAAATAGCTACAATGCACCACAGCTATGAATGAGAAATAAGAGAAAAAAATAAATTAAGAATTATTTTAAACTTTTACAAGTTTAAAAAATTCAATTTTTGAAAATAATTTCAAGAACTACCATAATGTATTCAACTGCCTTAATATATAATATATAGAAGGTACTTTTCTTCCTTTTCATTTAAAGTCACATTATAAGGGTTATTTTCCTTATACAGAATTAATAACAGATATGCAGAATTGATATATGGAATTAATAATGGATATATGAACATAAAGAAATTCTCCAGAATTATAAACATGATTTTTGATTGACAACCTTCTTTCATAAAGAAATCCAGAACAGGAGAATTCTTCAGAAAATGTGATGCCAATATTCGTCTTTTTACATCATCATCCCACGTTGAAAGCCAATTCATAACGATGCGGCAATATGCACCATTTTCACTGTTATCTTCAGTAAAGTCAATAAAATCCCCAACTGTTAATGTTGCATCACTTTCAGGGGCAACACAACAGACATCACTGTCATAAAATGATCTACAAAAATATATCATTTAGCAATGTTAATGCAAATAATGAGTTAAATACACATTTAGAATACATAATTACATGATAAATCACTTAACTGTTTGAAGCTTTAAGCTGAAAAATGTACCATAAGATTCTACCAGATATGATTAATTTAATAGAAATTAACTGTAAAATGAATATTCAGTTATATCACATAAATTGAAATAAGCATAATTTATAATTAGATCTTCTATGATAATTACTTATTCCTTAAGAAAGCATGGTAATAATAATACCATTAAAGACACATCTATTAACTTTTAAAGTAAAGACATGAAATGCTAAGATGACATAAATGATATACAAAATTATAGCTTTAAGAAAAACCATTTAGTAAGACCTACACTAATGTATGAAAATTTTAAGAGTAAAATTTACCACCCATATTTTAAAAAATCAATATATTTTAAAGCTATTTTATAAAATTATGAGTACAAGTTATAATTATATTCGTACTTGCACTTGACATTTAATTTTGAATACCAGTTACATGCTACTTGGAAGAAGTGCAAGCTTACTCAAGAAAAGCACTTAAGCATTTTTAAATTTGCTGTCTGATTTTACTGACATCACACTGTAAGTATAATTTTAAGCTTTTGAAGTTAAAGAATAATTTAATGTTAAAATTGTTAATTATTTCCTAAGCATATTTAATACAATGCATTTTGAACATAAAATTATTAGCTTATGTTTATGTTTCAAAATAAATTTTTAAAATAAAACTTGTAAACAACATTTTAAAAGCTCTCTTTTATTTATCTAACTTCTGAATTTACTATTAAAAATTTGCATAAGGAAAATGAATTCTTGTTTTACAATGAAACACATACATGTGTGAAAAATTATATAATAAAAGTAGAAACAAATATAGTTATAGTCTTACTGTTTTTCATCCAGCAACACACGTGCATGATCAAAAGAAGTGCATGGGTATAACTTCTCTAACAACAAAATAAACTGCAATGAATTTGAATCACTATTGGATAATAAATCTCTCATGTGTAGCTCCTTCAAGATGGCCATTCTGATGTCTTTCTCAGGGGTACGCTTAAATATGTCTTTCAGTTTGATATTTATATCAATGCCCTACGGAAAATAGAGAAAGCACTACGTATAAATTTTACTCAAAACACAAATGCTTTAAAAATGGCATTTGTTTATTATGTGATATCAGGAACTCTGGTTACTGCCAAAGTTAGTTTAGCAGCAATCATGACCCCGGAAAATTACAGTTACCAATTTAGATGGATTTCAGTTCTCTTATTTCAATAATGTAAATTTTTCAAGGATATTTTTATCTAGCACAGAGATTTTTTTTTTTTAGTAAAACATAATTGATTTTAGTAGTTAATTTTATGTAAGTATGCATCAATATGCATCATATGTTATATAAAAAAAATCTTGAGATCAATTTAATTTTAGTCTTAAATGAGAAGCTCAAGTTTGAATGTCTCAAATTCTTTTTAACAGAGTGTGAATTTATGTCCAGTCTCGTTCTTGGTAATGCTCATTTTCATGAAGTTTTAAGTTTTGCTTTATTGTAAAATGTCTGAATGTTGTTAAATCTATTACAGTTCTTTAAAATGTGCCCACCAGCAGCCGAGCGGTAAAGTCGCTGAACACTGGTAGTTCGGTCTGAGGTTCGAATCCCGCAAATGGGTTGGCTGCATGGGTGTTTTCGTGTTTTCCCCATGTGTTATGTGTATACGAGCCAGTTTCCCTTAGAAAGTCCTCCACAAAGGCACCACTACCCTTAGGCAGATAGCCCTCGAGGCTTTGTCATAATTAAATAACCTAACCTCAAAATGTAAATAGTATATTGTTATTGAAAAACAAAATGTACATCATTCCTTATCTGTAAGAGAAAAATTAATTTCAAATAAGAAAAAAAACATTAACTGCTAGCAACAGTAAATAAATTATATGGTTGTTATAATTGGGGTTAAGCTTGCTTTGAATGAATAATATCATCATTCTTACTGCCTATCTATATTCTTTAAGGCTGCACTTTTATAATACTGTTACGAAATGTCCAGGCACAGCAGGATGGCTTCCCCTCAAAGCAGGTTTGGGGTTGCCATAAAATGGCAAGGGAAGGCAGGGTTGCCATATTTGGCGAGAAACTGTCCATTTGGCAACAAAATTGGTGATATGCCATAGACAGATGGAGAACTTTCTGGAATGAATTCTTAATGGTTTAGCCCAGAATGTTCTCGAACACAAGCCAAAAGCTATATAAACCCTGCTGCTATGCGAAGAGTTTAGTCAGTGCGGAGTTAGAGAGCCCATCGATTGATAGTCAGTCAGTGAGTGCCGAGTTTGTCGTCAAGTGCACCGAAAGAGTCTCTTAGTGTATCATGAGTCAGTGCATCGTTGAGTTTGATCTTAGATTATATTAAGCTCCAGGAATGACTGAACCAAGGAATTGAGAGCTGTAATCTAGTGTATCATCCAGTGCATCATGAGTTATAGCATGGAGAGTATTGAGAGTACGTGGAGTTCTGTGAACAATCGAGCAGAGTCGAGAGCTGCTTTGCCGTGAAGCTGTCTTCACCATTATAGCCTGATAACCCAAAGGTTGTGTCGCTGATCATTTCAGCATATTTATAGTAGTTCTTTGACGACTGTAAACATGATTTTGGAGCTGTCTTGAATAATACTGGCCAATAAATTGTGTTTCGATACTTTATTAAGTGTCGTCATTATTCACTCCAAATCCACACGAACCTTTACATAACATGAGGAGAAATACATTCGTTTAGTGACATATAATTTCACTGTATGAGAATTATAATTTTTTTCAACTTCCTTGGCAATATTCTGTGAAAAACGTTAAATAGTAGGTAAGTCTCAGACACTACAAAGAAAATAACATGAATCACTAAGAAGTCTATAAGAAGAAGCCAGAGAATATGCTTAAAAGAACAGAAAGAAAGATGAAGGTTATAACTGTAACACAGAAAAAAGCATTTATTGGCAAGTTATTATCAATTGGCATTAACCAAAATACCCAAATGTTGATATATATATATATATATATATATACAGTCAAAAGTCGTTAATTCGGACACCCATAATTCGGAATGATCTATAATCTGAACCTCAAAGCTAAAAACTTTCTGCACATGCGCTGCGTTTACACATGCGCATAGGCGTATACGCATAAGACCTTTATGACTGCGCATATGCGTGTGCGCAAGCGCAGAATATGTTTTCGTGTGCGCGTTTTATGTATAACGGACAGTATAAGCTGAAATTATCTAATTATATATTTCAGTTAATGTTGATGATTGCGTTGTTCCTTAATCTTCGAGTTAGATCTGGCTTATTATTTTTTTGTAGACAGTAAGAGCAATTTTATAAAAGTAAACTTGAACTTTTGATTATGTCAAATAGAATTTCTGATGCTGGAGCTCCCAAAGGATCTACAAAACGAAAATATGTTTCGATGTCCATCAAACAAAAGGTGGAATTGCTGCAAAAAATGGATAAAGACATGAAGAAGGTGACAGAGAGCTTAGTGAAAACGAAAAAATTTCGATTGACAAGTTAGTCGGTATTCTCGACACAGCAATTACAGGACTTGAACAGTGGAACTGAACAAGAAATTATGTCTGTTTATAGAATTAAAGAGAAAGTATTAGCACAAAAAACGAAGCAACTTAAACGACTTACATTGAAAGAAATGTTTAATAAAGTTAACAAATAAATATTAAGCTTCTTTTTTGTAAATTTTGATACCCTTTAGATCATAATTGTTCTTTATTTTATAAATTACAGTTTCATATTTTTAATTTTAGAATTTCTGCATGCCATCTTACGAGATTTAAACTGATGATCTATAATCCGGAATTGCCGAAGTCCCGACGAGTCCGAATTAACGACTTTTGACTGTGTATATATATAATTCTTTTTAAATATTTTTAAAAATAGTCTATTAATATATATGAAAAAATTTGTATTAAATATGAATTTTTTTTTCAAGTTAATCTAAGACATTCTGTGCTAAATTCTATGATATTTCACACAGCATACATAAAATTAAAGACATTCTGTGCTAAATTCTATGATATTTCACACAGCATACATAAAATTATCTCAAGGCAGAAATCACATTATCACTTTCAGAAATTCTCTAAAATACTTTAAAAACTATATCAGCTATTTTAACATATTTCATGTGGATATTTAATAATCAGAATTTCATTTGTTGTTGTTTTCTTAATTAAAAGAGCTTTCTTTTAAATCAACAACAATGAAAAACGTTTCCACTATTTAAAATACATCTAAATATAACTTTTACTATATTGAATAAATGCAAATGCTCCTTATATTGAATTAATACATTATTCCCATTCAGCAATATTTTTATTTAACATTAAAAAATAAAAATAAATTTCATGTGATTATGTAATTTGAGATCATAACATTCAACTCCTTTTATTTATTACAGCTAAGGAAAAGGTTTGTAACATGAATTAAGAGAAATTATTGTTCATCTGTCATACACTCCATACCAAAGAGTTACAATTATTATAACTAATATTAAAATAATTATAGAAAATTATATATGTATATATGAAATTGTATAATCAAAATCAAAGTTTGATTCACTTTTGGGGGAGGGGATCATTTTATCATTTACGCACATGAAACTCTATGTACGAAAATTTCGAAATATATATATACTGTATAAATTATCTAAATAATGAATGTGTATTTTAACAGTCTCTTTCATAGTAAATGAATTTTATTATTATTATATTAATCATATAGGCTACACTCATACATAGGAGGTGTTACACCATTTGCATAAATAAAGCTTTAAGTAATAGTAAAAATTATTATTATCCTGCAGATCTCAATCCCATACTTTAAAATAAACTGCTTGTTATATAGACTTTTCTGAATGGGAAAGGGAATTACAAGAATGGCCATAAATATACTCATATTATGATAAAATGAGATTAAAATGGCAAACATTTGGCAGTTTCCTTTTTTAATATTCAACAGTTTTATCTTACTGTATATAATTACCATATGCCATATTATCTGCTATTATTATGAAATGAGAGTGTATATTAGATAAGAACAATAATTTTTCATTTATCCAGTTTAGTACCTTTTGGAATTATGGCGAACAATGATGTAAACAATTAATTTTTTTAATTAGTAGGGTTGAATATTCTCTGTAACTAAAAAGTAAATTAGAAAACTGGACATGATAACAAAATTTGTTTTTCACTGCCCTCTTTAGTACACTGCTAGTTATTAAATATGCAATACCAAGAAGAATGTCTTAAATTTACAGAACAGATAATATACAGATGTAAATTATACATTATAGCAGTAGTTTTTAAAAGCAATAAAAAGCAAGTGAAGGTAATGCAGTTTTAGTATATAGCAGGGTTTCTTAAACTGCGGGTCGCAGGACCTGCAGCACGGGGTAGCCAAAAATTTAGCAGTTTTTATATTTCTTTAACTTATAATAATTTTACAATTACTAAATATTTTTACACAGTGTATCTGAAAATAGATAAAGATAAGGCAATACAGATAAAGAAAAAACAAAAACGTTTCGACACATTCCTTTCATAATATAAACGTTCATGACATGAAATAACAGCATCCTAGCTTTGCATGTGGCGCTGTCATTTTGTCTGTTATTTATTTAAAATTTTCCCGTTGTTCTGTCTTAAAATTAGAAAAAGGCAAAGACATAAAACTGCAGTATATTACAGTACAAGTGTAAAAATTGCAATAGTATATTACAGTACAAGTGTAAATATAACACAGTTTTACTCACGCGTGTGTTGAATTTCCGCAATACTTATGGGGTCCCACAAAATTTTTGTAAATATTTATGGGGTCCTGGGGTTGTAGCAAATTCTCAGTGATAAAAAGGGGTCATGACTGAAAAACATTTAAGAAACCCTGGTATATAGCATTAGAATTGCATTTAATCAGAGGCTTTGCTCATGGAAGGATCCAATATAGGATCCAATATGTACTGCGAAATAATATGGTAGTAATTAATATAAGCATGTTTCATATTCTGGAAGAGTTGTCAGATCATGAAAAGGCAGATTTTTCTATTAAAATACTGAAACTTATGGTGAAGAGAATCACATCACAGTAATGAAAATATCAGCTCAGTAAACTGATGCAAGATAAACACACCAACATTAAGTACTGAAATGGTTCTAACACATGAAGGAAAAAGCAGATATACTATAATATGCTAAGTTATTAGTGACCATCAAGCAATATCAAACACACTAGGCCCGCATTTAAACTCTAATGAGCAAATCTGGAGTCTGCATGGTATGTAATCTTTGCTAAATTTACTTGTCCAGCTGTCACTGATTTTATTTATGATGACAAACAAAAACTATACAAAATTAGATGCTGCAGAAAAGTTCAGAAAGTGACCTACTCCAAAACAGTGTAAATGATCCTGGCATCTAAAAAGACAAAGTTATCTATCAGATTAAATGAAGGGATGACTTTGAGGAGGTTCTAAAAGAAACTTGCTTATATTCATGTTACATATGGGAAAAAGCATAATAAAAAGAGAAAACATTAACTCAAGATATATTATCCCTCATGTATATGATATGTACTACAAATCAAACATCATCCATTGCTAATATTCTTAACAAATATTAGGTTTAAACAGTCACAAATTTTATTTTTTTATTTTTTGTAAGACTTAAAAAAAAGTAACCCTCTTTATTTCCTCTTAATTCTATATAATATAAAGTATAAAACATAATAATCAACTCAATATTACAATCAAATATTCACACTTTTAAAATTTAAGTATTTTAAACGTCTTAATTAATTAAAAAATCTGGCAACATACAACTTACCATATTTGACATAGTAATAAGAGCTTCAGGAATTTGCCCTTGTCTTAAATAATCAATGACAAAACAGTCACAATTTTTTTCAAATTCTTGGTATGAACTCTTAAAATCATTTTTGCAGCAACAAGAAAAGTATGCTTGAGCAAGTGGAATTGTCCCATTTAGAAGAGATTCTTTAATGATTTCCTAAGATCAGATATATAAAGTTTTCACTATTCATACATTAAGACATTATTTTGCTTTGTAAATTATACACTAAAAGAGAAAATTATTTTCATATTACATTTTAAATTTATTTTTAAGATATTACTTTGCTTTGTAAATTATACACTAAAAGAGAAACAAATTATTTTCTTATCACTTTTTTAAAATTTTAAATTTAAGAATTCTAATTCAACCATGTTTGTAAGTTATAGATCACAAAAACTGAAATATAACAATTTTAGATTGTAAATGCTTTTAAAAATATGAAAAAGGATAATATTTTTTAACTCAAAAAATAATATAACAATAAATTAAAAAATTAAGATAATCAATGCAGCAAGACTACCTTCATACAAGAAAGAATTTCTAAGGAAAACTGGCTCATATCTGCATTACAGCAGAAATGGGGATGAAAATGTCATACAGCTAGCCGCCAATTCATACGAAAAAGAACTGACCTTGGAATGAAATATCAATATTATGCAGCTTTACTTGCTTATACAGGCCTAATCCAAATAATTAAAATACAGTGAATCCTCTCATAGTGACTTCTACAGAAAACTACCTATAAAAGTTATTAGTATTTCTCAGACAGGGTTCATAGCCACATTTTAGTTAAAAAAATAAGCACCTATAAGCACTTTTCAAGCACATTTTAAGAAAAAAAATAAGCACCTGTCTAATTACATTATACACAACTGCATAACCTTAAAAATTAGACTTGTAATTTAAAACATGAGAAATGCAGTATTTATTAAGAGAGAATAAGCATTACCTCAACCATGGAAAATAATTACTTTTTTTTTTTTTTTAAATTTTAAATAACAGTTCAATTTACAGAACTAGTTTACAATGAGAGAAAAAAAAACTATACGAAACTGAACTATATTACAAGATTTAATGATGAAATTTCAGTTCAAAATAGAGAAAATAAATAATAATAAGGCACATTTATTGTATTCGCTTGGAACCTAATAATAAATACAATTTATTTTTCCACTCATATATTTAAATATATAAATACTCATATATTTACTCATATATTACTCATATATTTAAATAATTTAAATCTAAATTCTGAACATTTTCTAAATTTTCATTGTATATCAGTTTTCCCTTAACAGATATTGCAAGCAAAGTAATTTAAGTAAAAAAAATGGAACACTTCTGAAATCAGAAGACAGAAATTTGCTTCATGCAGTCATCCTTTAACAGTAAAAGCTTAACTAACCCCCATACTTGGAAATTGGCGAATATTCGGACAGTCGAGCGTAACTTGAAAAAAAGAAGCGGAGGGAAGGGGTTGACTGTAGCCGCTCTTTAGATTTTCCGCTAAATAAATGCTTTTGACATTTCAATATGTGCATCATATAAAAATAAACCAATGGAACTGAAAAATATTCTGCTTAGCAAGCACAGTAAAACTCTTTTAAGTGTTCATAAACAAATCTCGGACAAAACATCAAAATTAATTATCTCTGCAAAATATCGCAAACGTTATTGCGCAATACGTGTGCTGTAATTCTTCCCTATGTGATATTACGCAATAGAAATCAACAGCTGCCGGTATTGGGAGAATAAAAGAACCAAATAACTGGGGTGTTTTTCATTCTAATTTTCAACAGACGGCAGAAGTAAGATTTTAATTGTTGCCCAAAAGGGCCCTTTTGAAATTTAATATGGTTTATCAGCAGAAATTATCAATAGAGAATGCCCAAGTATAATAGCAAAACATTTTATAGGATATTAGATGAATATACATTTAGAGTAATATTGTTATGTACAGATTCTGGCTTCATGGTTATTTCTAAATGTGTAGATTGCTTGACAGTATGTGCTGATAAAATAGGGGTTCAGCAATAGGAGCCAATAAAAACTAAATAATTAGATAATGAATAAAGGATCTTTTTCTCTTTTTGGATATGCTGCAGAGACATGAGAACATTTTCTTCTCCCTTGATGAGATATTAGGAACAAGGTGCCCCCCCCCTCCAAGCATCAAATGTGCACTTGAAACAAGACTTCTTTGTCTGAAAGCATGAAAGGAAAGGGGAAAATTTATTCATTGTAGGAGGTAAACAAATGTAGCAGCTTTACAAAAAAAAAACTTGACTTAAAGAAATTGGTGCCATTTATTTTTTATTTGTTTCTTGAACTATGATGCAAACAGAACAGTACACAATTTATTATTTTCATAAGAGATGTGCTATCAGGAAATGATGTATCTCAGAAAATTTCTCATAGCGAAGAGGCAAATATAGTTAGTTGTCTTTCATGGAGTGCTGTAAAAAAATATGTGTGGTGGCTTATTTTAATTACTGTATGGTGACAGTTAGTTTGGGAAAATATGTGGTACATTGAGTTTAAACAATTAAGTTCAAGTAAATATAGCAAAGCAATATAGCAAGAAATTAGCTCTATTCACTTATACTGAGAATAAGAAGGAAATATAACAGATTTTTTTTCCAGATGTGTTTTACAGTATTTATTATTTTTTAAAAAATTAATTAAAAAATTTGAAGAAAATTACTGAAACAAATGACATTAAAAATGCTACTGTTATATTTTGCATATGAAATAAGTTTAATCAACTAAATCCTCATACTGATTTGAGTACATAATATTTGTGTTCTATTGCATTTTTATGCATTGGTTATATTGCCTATAAATTTAAAAATTTTACAGCTCATTTTGAATAACTCATTAAACCTGAATTAAATTATACAGTTTAAAGTCCATAACCCGGACTCATCGGGACTTCTATGATTCCAGATAATAGATCATCAATTTAAATCTGGTAAGATGGCATGCAGAAATTATACAATTAAAAATATGAAACTGTAATTTATGAAATAAAGAGCAATTATGATCTAAAGGGTATCAAAATTAAAAAAAAAAAAAAAAAAAAAAAAACTTAATATTTACTTGTTTACTTTATTAAACATTTCTTTCAATGTAAGTTGTTTAAGTTGCTTCGTTTTGTGTGCTGATACTTTCTCTTTAATTCTATAAACAGACATAATTTCCTCAGTTACAACGTTCCACTGTTCAAGTCCTGTAATTGCTGCGTCAAGAATACCGACTAACTTGTCAATCGAAATTTTTTCGTTTTCAATAACCTCTGTTACTTTCTTCACTATCAGAAGTGCACATGGGTAAACGTTTTATGCGCATGCATAAACGCTTTACGTGCATGCATAAACGCATTACGTGCATACATAAGTTTGTGGCTTTGAGGCCCGGATTATAGATCATTCCGGATAATGGACTTTGTACTGTAAATATTTTATCATTAAATTTTGTTAACATTAAAAAAATTAAATCCCATCACACTTTTACATCTACATAGTTAAAAATCTTGAAACATTTTATGACTTGAATTTTTAATTTTTTTTTAAATTATTAATTTTAATTAATAAAATTTTCTAAAATGAGCTACAAATAAATAAATACAGCAAGTTGTAGATATGAAAAGAAATCTTTTTCCTTATTTTAGTAAATTTTAGGTCTCTCCTTATCTCTAAAATTAAGAAATCAGCAAATTGTTTCATAAAATTAAACACACAAAAGAGACAGAGTGAAAAAAATAACAACTGTATACAATTCACTAGAATTAAATCCAATGAAAACCTTTAAGTATTACAAATATTCTCAAGCATATTTTATTTCATACATTAATTTGTTCAAAAATTAACACATATGAAATAATTTAGAAGGAAAGCTATCAAAATTGACATATGCTTTAAAGCAGAATGCTGCCACCTTTTTAACTCTTTATTACAGCTGATGATATTCCAAAAAAAATTCATCTATAGAAGCATTTTAACAAAACTTTCTGAAGTTCTTCATAGTTTTGAAAAGTCTTTTCTACTAAGATTGATAAGAATGGGCATTATCATCATTTAGAAGAACATAATTTCCTAAAGAGCATGTGACCATGGGAATTTAAGACCTTATCTCTATTTCTGCTAAAAAGCATGTTTATTTTGAAAAGCATATATTGTTTATGCTTCCATTAGAGTAATTTCAAACTCTGGTGTTACTTTCACATAAGCATCTTGCTGCAGATAACAGAAAAAAAAGAGAACCTTTTTCGTTACCTCTGAATAAAAGCATATCTGGAATTATTTTGCATATGGTACATATTACGCTTTATGTTTCATTGGTCTATATAACACTGTGGACTTTGGTTGAACTTTAGTCCAGAGAAATCTAAATATACCATAGGATTATGATTACTTAGAGTGGCCATCAGTTCACATTAAACAATTACTCCTTTTCCAAAGAAGAAGGAACACATACACATCTAGCAACCTCAACAAACACTCCTTTCATGAACTAAATTTGGAAATAGTGCACAGCAGCACAAAGGAAACATATAACAGCGGTAGCTATGGTGACAATAGACGTTATTTTGCATTTGAGTATCTTTTCTACTTGTTTAAGCAGAAAAACATAGCTATTCTTATCCACTGTAGTTGAACATTCTAGGTCTTTCTGTACTACACCTGTGAGCGATTTAAAATTTAGAAATTTATTAGAAAGTTGAGTCTCAGGACAATTCGATTATCCAGCTATACTGACTCATTGCTTTTCATTAATATTCATTTGTTAAATGACATATCACAGAAAAATTAAACAATTTTTTATTTTAAAAAGATTTTCTCATAATTAATATATAAATTAAGAAGCAACTCTGAGAAAACTTATTTAATAAGAAAACTTGAAAACTGCTTTTAGGATATATACAATTATAGGTCTGATTTTTTGCATGCAACATACCGAGTATTGCATTTGACATTATATGCACGAGTTTTGTGAATTCCCAGTTTATTTTTTAAAAAATCATAATAATTTCCTGCTTTGCTACTTAACTTCTAGAAATTAGCATGTACACTAATACAAATATTTTGAACTACTTACATCATTAGGACGTTCCTTCCAATCTGTCCATAATTTTAAAATATCACAGCTAAAACATTGTTCTGTGCTGTTTTCGGATTCATTTTCTGAAATATCTGTACTCGAAGAATCTTGCTCACGAAGTAATTTTCTCATATTTAAAATAAATCCAGAAAACTTTGACAGCAAAACATCTTTATCTTTCTTTAAAAATGTTCTATCATCTGCATTCTTCTGCTCAATTACACTTAGTATTTGTATTACCATATTAATTGTGACCTGTAAATAATTGAAAATAATATGGAAAATTACAGTTAATGGCATTATTAATGGAAAGCATTTTACAGTAACTAAAAAAATCCAAGTAAAAAAAAGTAAATGAGGAATGACATAAGTATACTGTTTAAGATAGACATAAAAAAATAAATAAATCTTATACAGACTTTTCAGCATCTCTCGTATGAAATCTTTCATTTTACAGAGAACAGCATTTCATTTACAGGTTTTCCCGCCACCATGTTGGAGTTGACAATTACCCTCCTTGTCGGTAATAATTTTTACAGACCGCACCCAACGTTTTGCACTCACACAAAGTTTAACAGGATAGGACATTTTGAACACATGTTAAAATACTTTCTGCTATTGGACAATCTGAACCTTATTACATATTTTTTCCAAGAAGTACAAATTTTGCTTCTCCAGAGTAGCCTTGAATTCAACTTTCTTTTGCAAGGAACACAGTTTGGAAAAAGATGATTGTCTTAAGAATTCGGTAAGTTTACGTTTTGCTCAGTTTTTGTTTCAAATAGGTTTTTCAGTTTTTACCTGCTAAAGTATCAGATTATGTTTGTTCAATTTTAGTTTCAAATAGGTTTTCAGTTTTTAGTTGTTTAAGGCTCAGATTAGATTTTATATTATTTAGAGAATTCTCTTCTGAAAGTTTTTCATTTTCTTGGTACTAAAAGTTTAGGATCACAAAATCGGGGACCACCCAATTTTTTTAGTGTTATCGAAATGACAATTTGATTTAAAGTATATTTGTTTTCCTCTCTAATTTTTAATTTTTTTTAATGTCGGGTTTACATATAATGTTATTTGACTTTTTTTTTTTTTTTTTTTTTTTTTGAATGGTCAATTTGCATAATGTAATGTTTTACTGTTTTTTTGAGCAGTCAATTAGGCACAATGTAATGTTTTATTCTTTTTCCAAGTGTTTTGAAAGCATGTAGAGAAAATTCTGGATACATCTGGAGATTCGATTTTTCGGTTTTAAAGGTATTTTAATATCTTAAATGAAAATTTAATTGAATCTTTTCTCAGTTCTTGATCTCAAATGAACCAGAAGAATGAAACATGTTAACCGATTTTTATGAAACTTCAATCATTTTCCCTTGATGAGTTCTAAATTAGAGTTTCAGTAAAAGGAAATTAATTTTTATATTTCCATATTTTTATTATTTTGCATATTGTTTTCTTTTTGTATTTTTTTGAGTATGTTTTACTGATGAACTTCAAATTTCAAGTATGTTCTACTGATAAATTCTATCTTAATTTTAATATGTTTAGATACAGTTTATCCATGGTTGCAATTATTAATATTGTTGAGGAATTGCCTTGCTTTGATTCCAATTTAATTTTACTTTAGATGCTTTAAGTTCATATATGGCAGCTATGTTGGCATTTTTTCAAATAACGTGGCAAACACTATCTGAAATTATAACATCATTAGATGCAAATCAACAATTTTCGGCTCAAATTTTCTAGCAGTTTATTTACTCACCCCTCTGTCAGATAATGACTCATCCTTCTCCTTTATATTTTACCCTTACACCCTTCTTCTAGCTTTTCCACAGTTACTGAACAAAGAATGTTTGGTCTAATAAAATCATACAATACTGAAAATTCAACTAGCTCTAGCCATTCTTCCATGTTTCCTTTATTTACATTTTGAAAATTGAGAATGCCAAAAATAGTATCAACAAGGCCCTACTTCTTCATTGGTTGAATCCTCTGACTTTGTTTTATCAGGAATCATTTTCTTTCAACCAGCAATTAATATCAAACGTTTAATTTCACTTTAAATCTCAGGAAACAGATTTATTGTATTAGGAACCATGAATTTCTTTCAAACAAATTTTTACCTTTGAGTTTTACTCTAAAAATGGTCTAGGGAGAAACACACGAGGATTTCTGCACAATTTTAAACTGTTTACTAACTTCAAAATAAATACCAAAAAAAAAAAAAAAAATTAATACTAATTTAATAATAAATTTTAGCCTTGTTTTAACACTTTATCTAAGAACTTTTCATTCCTGAAAATCCAAATCTCTCTGAAAACAAATTAAATAAAAACTATATCATGCTGCAAGGAACAATGAAAAAGAAATTAATTCAAAAGTTACATCATTCTATTTATTTATTACATTTATATTTTAAATTTTGATATATTTTAAGGTATCTGCGTATTAACAGATCTAAATTTGCAAATCTTGATACAAATAGTCAGCACAACTTTCAAAGTACTGACATTTTAATATTAGTGCTGAGACAAGAAGGTACTCTGAAAAAGAAATACTGAACGTGTTCGATCATTCAGAAAGGATCTGCAAGAAAATTCCGCACCAGATTTTAAAAATAAATAAATATATATATAAAAAAAAAATCAGATTTCTGAAAAATAAGAATTTGGGGGTACTGTCGAAATGTAATCATAATGCAATCATTTCCAGAAAAGGGGTCTGAAAAAATGGCGCAAAATTTTTTTGAAGATTTGGCTATAAGCAAACTGATAGTGAAACCATATTAATTAAAGAAAAGACCCACCCACCCCCAAAAAAAAAGCACTTTCTATAGCAACAAAGAATGTGATGTTATGCAGTAGAGAAGTTCTTTTTTAAATGCACTGCAATATGTTTATAAAGCATCTTCATGATGAAAATAAAATAGGCACAAAGCACTATTTAAAATTTCTACCTTTTATGTTAATATTAATACAAAATGAATTTATTGCTTTGTATCATAATCATTGCTACTACAGTATTTTTTACAGTCCTATTTTCATTACAACTTATTGAAATATGCATACTAAAATGACAAAAGATATAGCATTCCAAATTTAGTAGTTAATAATTATTAATGCATATTTATATTTATTTTTAAGGTTCTAATGAAATAAACCAGAAAAACCGGAGTAAAAAGAGATATGAGATATTAAAAAGAAATAAACTCTAAACATAAAATTTACCTTAAAAATGATGATGATGCTTATAAAATATTATAAAGAAAATAAACTTTAAACGCAAAAAATATGCTCATAAATTTACAAAATAGAAAAACTTGTGAATGTCAGATGAAATTTTGGTACTTTTTGATTATCTGCACCCTCTGCCAAAAAATTTCAAAAAAGTAGTCATGAGGCAATGCAGTATGTCAGCAAAATAAGTATGTGGTACCCCACAATGTCGCAAAAAAATATTTCTGTGTCAATCCAGTATACATGTAGCACACGTCTGCTTTGCCCAGAGTACAATGCTGAATTGCACAAATACCGAGTTTATGCAAGTCTCTGGATTTTTTTAAGTGGAAACAGATGACTGTGTACATGGGGAGAACAATAGAGCAAAAAAAGTATGTGTTTTATTAGCAATATTTCTTGTTTTTTGAAGTTTATTGATTCATTATTCTTGTATACAGAATTCTTAATATGCTGCCATTTCAAAAATGGCTATTGCTCTTTAAGCATTAGCTTGACAATAAATAAATAAACAGTCACCAATGAATTTGCAAATCTCTCTAAAGTTGCCAACAGGCTCGTGACTTTTCAGCAAGAATGTGAATAACCAAAAACATCGAAATTTTTTGCAAATATTGACAATAAATTTAAATGACAATAAATGATTTAAATGACAAATTCTTAAATTCTTTGATTTGTAATCAAAAGTAAAGTAATATACAGCATGTAAAAAATTAGATTCATAAAACAATATTAACATTAAATGCAGAATTTATCCTGTAAAAAGTAATAACATTACTTAAAACAAGAAAACTAATAAAATCAACTGTTAAAATGATGATTGGATTCATAAAATGACACATGAATGGCAAGCTTAATTTCTCTGGAAAATTTTTTAATGGAAAGTGAAAAAAATTATTGCTGAAAAGAAATTAATATTTAATGAAAAACCCATATGGAAAAGGAACATATTATGTAAAGTATACATCACATGTTTGTATATTTATCATCAAAGGACCTCAGTTGGAAATAGCATTTCCAAACAAATTAGAAAGAAAGGAATCTTCCTCATTTGTTTAAAATTGTAATGTTGAAACCTGAAAAATAATTGTAGAAAATTATCTATACATTTTTTTTATCATTCTAGTTTTGGAAAAAGGACGAAAAACTGGTGTTATAATCTATGGATTTCAAGGCAGTGCACCTGCATTTTTTTTAATAGAATTCAAAGCTAAAAGATAATTAAAGAAGAAATATTGGGAAAAAAAAAGTTATTTTTTAAAACTGACCAAAATGAGTAAGTTACATTACAGATTTTGAATAAGTCTTTATTTAATGGTGTGAGCAGTGAATTTATAAGATTATTAGTTCATTCATTTACGAAAGCTGTGTATGAAAAACCCATTAAAAAAATCTACAGCCAACTTCGATGCCAATTTTCAAACCACCTGTTTTTGCAATGCGCCTATCTGTTTTTGCGCTAAGAAACTTACACCCTGCTAAGATATCCACATTACTCAAAATATTTTATGCTTAGATGTCAGATAAATTTAGTAAACTTTTTAAATGTGAAATTTTAATGGCATTTCTGGGGCAAAAAGCTATTTATCATAACAAAAGTTTGGGATTCAGTCATAATTTTAAATACAGAACTGAATTATGGAAAAAACAAAGCAATTTTTCAAACGAAACATTTTGGGGGAGGGGAGGAGAAGAAAAACGAATCTGACATTTAGTCAGAGTAATTTTTAATCAAAATACCTCTCAATATTTGCACTTCACTTAAATCTAATATATACTTTCTTGAAATATATGAAATATTAACCAAATTTCATTGAAAAGACATCAAATACTGTTTGCTTTGTTTATTGTTATATGAAACATATAGCATACTTAATAATTACACTGCATGATATATGCACATTTTTGAAGAACTAGCTCACAATATTTAAAAATTACTGACAATATTTCTCCAGAGCTGATTATTTATGCTCGATATACAACTATATAATGTGAAATATAAAAGTATAACAAAAACATACACAACTTTAAAATTTTACTTACATAAAGTAGTTGTTCAGCATATTGACAAGAAAGACTCTCAGTCAGGTTTTTGCATACATTCTCAGAAACCAAATTCAAAACTGTATCCCATATATTACATTCTTTTTGCATTTTCTCATACCACTTTGGTGATAAGGGTGCATTCCATTGCTGACAAAATCCTTTAAAAAAATCCTTTAATTAATAAAATCATTAAAATTTCTATTAATTATAGAAGGCATTTAAAAAACTATATAGCTGAATATTGCATGAACATTTCATCCTATATCCATGGCTCCATTTTAAGAAATGAATTAAATGAGATAGTCTTAGAGATAATGGCAATTTTAACAATACTTACATTAATTAAATTGCAAAATATGCTTTCTTTTTGTTATGCTGATAATGTTTGCTGACTTATGATAAATGTTGATAGTTAGGGAATCTTTCTTAAAAAAGTTAAAAAACCACCAGCTTGAACCTAATAAGTAATTTTTACTGTTCCATATTTAAAAAATCACCAAACTGCACCCAGGTGGTTGTCTTAATATGTAATTACCATTTCAAATTATGATGTTAAGTCAATGAATACAAAACTTAAATCATTACACAGGCGTTTTAAAAAGAAGGTTCTAATTAGTAAGTTATTTCCTGTAGTTAAAAGACTTTTAAACAAAAAAACAAAAAAAAAAAAAAAAAAAAAAAAAAAAAAACTTACTAAAATAAACACTCTTTAAAATACTGCAAAAATTATATGATTTAAACCAGAAATGGGGCACTTTTTTACCATGAGAGGCCACACTTAAATTAGATAGTGATAAAGGAAGCCCCAGCATAAATTGATACACCTATAAATGTGACTATTTTGTAAAATTATTACAGTTTTTGTACAGTTTCATCACTTTATTGCATTATATAGAAGTAACACAAAAAAGTCATTTATTAAAATAAAAATTTACAATATAAAAGTTTTTTTTTTTTGTTTGTTTGTTTAAAATATTCCATTGCTGGACGTTGGCAAACTGAAAAGTGTACCAGAATGGCTATAATTTCAGACTATGAAAAACTGCCAGATACTGCAATGCTACAGCATTCTACTTCCTGTTATGCTCAATAGATGACAGCATGTTATTTAATTATATTAATTTCCAAATTGTCGTATCCTATATAATTAAATATTAATTAATATAAGAGTTAGAGGCCGTACGTTCCCCACCCCTGATTTAAACAATTCTTATCTGCTGAAAAAATAAAAAGAAGTATTAATTTAGATATCATATGAAATTTTAATTCTATTAAACAGAATATTTTAAATTTTAGCATTTCTAATTTCAACTCTCAAAGTTCAAAATCTGGATGTCCAATACAACTCCACTGCAAAATATTAAGAGTGTTGATGAAGAAAAATTTAATATAATTTTTTTTTCCCTCGGTAGATTTTGTAAATGACACTCGCAGGTCAAAAGACAACATTTAGTGCTGTTTGAATTGAGATTAACTGATTTGTTATTCAAATAAGCCCAGGACTGGTACCAGAGCTGGAATTTAGGAAAGGGAAAATTTTTAGATTTTGGGAAGCACTGCGCAACAAAATTAAGAGATGACAAAATCTTTAAAATTTTCATGCAAAATTTTCAGAATTTAGGAAGGCTCTTAGCAGCAGAATTTTGTATCCACAGACTGCACCAGAATGCAAAATATCTAATGCCAGCCCTGGATACATATATGCAGAAATTTATTTTTTCATGACTCAGATAAGCCAAACGATTAAATTAATATAATTTAAGCTTAACTTCTTCAGCATGTGATAGAAGCAAGATAAAATTTAATAGAACATGCTTTTAGTTGACAAACTCATGTGCAAGTTAAGCTTTATGACGATAGCCATGAATTTGAAGGTGTTCTGATAGTGCAAATAAAAAACAAAATTTCACAATTAATGGAACTTTTTTTTTTTTTTTTTAAAGTGGAAATAAATGAAGATGATGTCACAGTTTTTCATTACAAAGACAATCACCTAAGGGAAAGCAAATTCTATAGTATGGCCATTGGCTGCCCGTGTACTTTCCTAGAATTGTCACCCCTAGGCCATTGGCTGCCCACGTATTTTTCTAGGACTGATGCCCCAAAATTAAAAATAAATGCTCAATGATTAATAAAATTTTTATTTCATATTCATTAAGTACTTATATATTAGTACTTAGAACATATGACAAGTAATTACAATGAATTTAATGACTTTAAAATATTTAGTTGTGTGTACTTACAATGAATTTAATGAATTTAAAATATTTAATCATGGTATCGTGAGAGGCTGGCCGCCCCTGATTTTTGTCGACCGCATACTTTTACACGCTGCACCCCTGCTAGGAATAGCTCTGGTATGGCTCTAAATCCAAAAAATATCACTGCTGATAGTGACAGAGAAGTTATTGGAAATGGAAAAATTTCAATAGACAATTTTGTTGGAATATTTGACATGGCAATCACAGGACTTGAACAATGGTACTTTGTAACTGAATGAGAAATTATATCTATTTACAGGATTCGTACACATTTTTGCACATGAAAATTAAGTACTTTTAAGGACTTTTAAGGACCATTAATGAAAAAAATTAAGGACCTATGAGCAAATGGGAACTGAATAAATTCAACTAAAAATATTATCTATGCCTGAATTTCACTTTTGTGATACCATCCTAAAAAAATAAAATAGATCTCTAAGTAGTCTGTATTATTACTAAACATGAATTAATTAACATAATTATTAATAAGTTTGAGAATAAAATAAACTTTATGCAATTTATCAAGCAGCATTAAATATTTTACACTTATAACAGATGGACATACTTAAAAAGAAGATAAGTAACATTTACGTTTTACTCACAGTTAGCTTTATGTTGATTTTTTTAAATGTCTCATTTTGACACGTACTTGGTCAGTCTAGAGGTTGAGTAAATAGCAGGTAGATTTTATGTCAAACAGCATAGCTTAAAATGAGAAGTAAGATCATAATCAGCATGATTCAGAACAGAAGACTGAATGTTGTTATTGCTGTTGCTTGTCTAGAGAGAGACCTGCTCATTAGAACAAACCTGAAAGGCCTGATGTAGGCAGGTGTCCTGATGTAGGTTCGCAAGTGTTGAAAGTTAGTCGGGCTCTGTTTGATGCAGTTAGTGTCGTAGCTTCGTGTAGAGTTTCAGGGGTTGAAACCCAGTTAATATACTTCAAGGTTCCAATAAGCCATTAAAGCACCAGAGGTGATAAGTTGTTTTGTATTATTTTAAGTCTCACTAGATGCAAAGAATAAATTTTACTTGAATTTTTACGTTTTTGAGTTTTATCTTGTGACCACAGTGAGTATTAATGAAAGGCAATAACTCGCTTTAATACATAGAGATAATTTTTAAGGGTAAGCAGTTAGTTATAAATAATTAAATTAGGTAATTAGATAACATTAGTCATTATGGACTTACATGGCCACAATTAAATTTTATTTTTTAACAGTATTTGTTAAAAAAGCCCTATTAAAATCAAAATCTAATCAAATTTCACAGTTTAAAATGCATGTAATTTATAACATTGATTCTTAAATGATATTAGAATAATTACACATTAAAAACTACAAAACATTTATGTTTTGTAACAACAACACTCAACAAAATATTTATCCGTCATTTTAATTTGAAGACTTCCCAAACATTTTGGCTAGTTTATATCGATTTCCTTCTCTTTAAGCATCTTTTCTAACAATTAGAGATTTGTCTCAAAATGCAAACCAATGCTCTTGCTAGTTTCTGCATCAACCTAACTGCTTTATCTCCTAACTTGTCAACCTCTCCACAATGTACACTGCTCAAAAAAAAAAAAAAAAAAAAAAAAAAAAAAAAAAAATGGGACAGTCCTATATCTCTCGATCTACTGGGCCGATTGACAAAATTCAAATTGCATTCTTCATGTCTCGAAAGCGCGACTTAGGATATATATTAGATTTATATATAGCACTATTCTAACATAGGTATTTTGACACAAAATCGGCCTTTTTCTGAAATAACATAGCCAATTTTTTTTCATACGTTTCGATTCTACGACTCAAAATTACGCCTAAATATGAAATTTCTGTAAAATTTGGAGTCGAAATTTACCGAAAATTCACAAATTTATTGTTGCGCGCTTTTCTTGAGTTTGCGCCAAGAGTACTTCACTTGGCGAAACTTCTTAAATATTATGGCAACCTAGTTTCCTTTCCCGTGAGAGGAAAAAAAAGTCACCATCGTTCCTTTTTTCCAAATAATATTCTTTATATTATATTTTTAATTATAACTTATTATTTTAAGTATTTTTTTTTCTTTTTCGAATTTATTTTAATTGTTTAAGTTTCATGTTTTTTTTTTTCGAATAACTGTTTTAAAAAATTTCTATTTACCTATTCGAACTGCGTAAATAAAGGTGCAGCGTTCATTTTTTGTTTTCAAATAGTTTTCTTTATATATATATTTTGTCGTAGTTATTATTTTAGGTAATTTTAAAATGTTTATTCTTTTATTTTAATTATTTGTGTTTGCATTGTCTCTTCAGATAATTGTTTTAAAATTTTCTATTTATTCCTTCGAACTGAGCATTTTTAATATAAATTTTCCAAACTTTGATTTTATTTATTTGAATTGCGTTTCATTTCGGAAGAATACTTTGTAACCCAGAACTATGATGCATTTGAAAAACTGCATATATTAAAAGAGAGAAATACAGTAAAGCACAGTTAACACGCCTTTTAGTGTTCCGTTCAGGAAAAGATATATATAAATAAGAGAGATGTATAATCGACATTTTAACTTAGAGATGACTTGCATAAAACTGCTTTAAACAGTTTTATCATTGTGCCCATTGCTTTACACAATTTTATCCTACATTTGGTTTTCTTAAAATGTTATTCATATTTTAGTCAAATATTTTATTTTTGAAATCGCAAGAATCAAATATCATAACATTGAAAAGTTTTAAATTAAAAAAAATACAAATACTAAATTTTAAGAAAAAATTTATTTTTCTTCTCTTTTTCTTTAGGCATTCTGAAAGTATATTAAAAAGTATCCAACTTTTCGAAATATTTTGGTATTTCTGACAATCATTTTAAATAAAGTTATCGCCTTCCATTTCATAAAGGCCCACAAACGGCCGAGCG